TCACCTGAGATTCCTGGCATTCACTGGGAGTGTGTTCATGATGCATTTTAAATTCATCCCATTCTTTCCATCCTTCATATTACCTCCACAGCCACTACTGTCATGCTTTAGCTACTACTAGTCATGATTTCTAATAACGAATTCGTGGCAGGGCTTAATCAAACACATCATGGGAATTTAAATGTATGTCCTCATCTGGTAGTTTTCAAACACTGCCCTTGAGACCCCAATAACATTGGTAGTAATTTGAGACATTAACTCAAACTGGTGAAAATAATTGCATCATCCACTAAAAGGCACAAGAACAGAGGGCTTGGGAGACATTGTGACATGGCAACTTGACATATCTGGGTTTCATTTAATGAGCACAAGGACAGCAGTGGGAGCGAGGGGGTGTGAGGAACAAAAACATTTGGAGAAGACAAAGTGAAACTGGGGTTGTGAAAAAAAGAGCCCTGACAGGGTGAGAGAGCTATAACTGATACAAAACTAAGAAAGAGTATGTGAATAGAGCATAGCATCTGTTGGGCTCAGGTAATTTTAAACTGAAATCTGACAACTGAGCTTGCAAAATGTAGTCACACAGTAAGAGGCTTTTCATGACAGCACCCAAGTAGTATTATTCTCTTCACACAATAAAAAGGTACATCAAATACTGATACATGACATTTTTGAATCCATAATATTTTTTTCCCATTTAACAAATAATAATTTTTCTTCATTTGTCCGCATTAATTCCCCATATTCGTCTCCCACTGCTGAGCTGGTGAGGGTGTCGACAGCCTCCCCGGGTAAACTACTTAGAAAGCCTTAATAACGGTTATTAAAAAGTGTTAATAGAGAGAGGGAAGAAAAGATTAATGATAGGGAAAGCCACCCTTTGCCACAGTCAGTGTTTGACCTTTGGTGGCATTGTGGGTAATGACTCACACCCAGAGGGGCCTTGCCTCCCCACTGGTTTCAAGCTATGACTCAGAAAAGAGCAGCAGGTGCATGACTTTGCATTAATCTGTAAAAGTTTAGCAAGAGAAAAGTCAAAACATGGCTTGTGGTTTCGGAATATAAAAACACAATCTAAATTGAAGCAATTGTAAAAAGTACATAGAATTGGACAGTTAAAGGAGCTGTACAGTTTTTAGCTTGCAACCACTACCTATAGAGAATGACACTGAGACAGCCTTAAACAAAATGCTGGAAACTCAGGTAAACTTACACTACAATGTTACAGTAATATTTTTATCAGCTTGAGATTGAACTAATCCATGTTTGTTGCATGAAAACGTTACATTGATTGCATTTAGCCGACATATGTCGCCGTTAGCTCGCCTGCTGCCTTTTCAATAACTATTTGTGTATCTTTCATCAGAGAAGCTCAGCAAAGTCAGCACAGCTAAATGTATTGGATGATAACAAAAATGGTTAGTAGCTAGACTGCATATAATAAATGAGATTGTTGCCTCACTTTACAGTTATAGTAACCATAGTAAGTAACGTTACTGTAGTGAATGGGTCTTCCGCTGTGTTGTTGTACCGTGCCGTTATGTTGCATTATTGTATATTATGTGGGTCACGTCAGTTATAGCAACCTTAGATGTGTGAAGAAGCTGTGTCACTAAAATGACAAATGCCCAGTACTGTAGATATATAAAATGTATATGCAGCTGGACAACCAGTCACTGTCTGTGCATCAGAAAGTAATCCATCAGCAATGATATAATGATCATGTACCTGGGCCGAAAGTGAGTTTCTGCTTTCATAAAATGGCAACTTCATTATTTCTACATGACATACAGTACATGGGAGTAATATGTATTAATTTACAAGTGAAAAGAATATATGACCTTGTCCTTTAAAAGTCCTTTAAAGGAGATGCATTTGAAAGGATTGCAAATAAATCAAATAACTATATAGACACATGTATCTATAAGCAGGTTGAAAATATTGAGAAAAGATGCATTAGATTGGTGCTAAGTCACATCAACTCAGGGGAAGGGCATGAATATGCATGAATAAAAAGATATGATGAAATGGGACAATCCAAAAAAACTGCAATATGTACTGGGAGAGGTCAGTAAACCAAAGGTTATTTCACATAGCATGCTCCCTATTATATATGCCGAGTTACTCTGAACATTAATAAGGTGTGACGGCCAATTCTCACCCTGCTGAAAACTGATTGTTTTTCTTTATCATTCCAGAGCAGACAGCTGTCATACATCTCAATATTAACGTACATGGCTCATGCCCATGCTCTTTATGAACATGAAACAGATGCACAAACTGGCCAGGGTTATTTGCTTTCACACACTCAAGTGCTCTTACCCCTGTGCCTGACAGGCCATCAGTGTTGATCAAACATGACAGGGTGTGTGCTACAGCAGCAAATCTACTTTGTCAAGTAGGAATGTGACCCTGGCCTATACTGCTTCCTGAAACAACCTTTTCATTCATCAAGTGGCAAGATTAATTAGTGACACATTACACTGACCAGCTCAATATATTAAGTGACCACAGCCCTAAATTCAGTGAGATGCTCTTTTGGCTTTCTCGCTGATGGGAGAAGTGACATTGTGTGTGTGTCAGAAAGATGTGGGGCAGAGAGTGATCTTTGGTTGGTCTGACCGTTACGACTCCTAAGACTTCTTGTGCAAGATGGTGGTCACTGTCAGTGCAAAATACCCTTCGATAAATGAGACAAAGCCTGTACAGCAAATCATTACTCTGGCGGACTCCCACAAACACAAATTAGGATAACCAGAGAAAGGAGAGAGCCAGGACAAAGCCAGGGTCAGGGACACCTTTACACTGATGACAGAGGTGATAGGCAATCAAGATGAGATGACAGATATGCCTCGTGAATGGGAAATATATGTCCTTTCCCCTGCTACTTAGGACTTAGCATGTCACCAACCATTCAGGACAAACTTGTGCCCTCATCCAGTCCCCTGATGAACTCTGTTCAATGTGAGAAATGGAAAATGAGCTATCTTTCGTTATGCAGCAAGAAGGTACCAGCTACTTTGACAGTTCTGTATTTGCAGCTAATATCCGACAAAGTCTTTGGCAAGACAAATGACATAAACAGTGATGAGGTGAAAACTGTCATAAAGCAAATCCAGTATGGGTTCTTTTCTTACACTGGTAAGAAATTCAACTTCTAGTGGAGCTTACTGCTAAACCGCAAAGTATGTACTGTCTTGACAACTGAGCTTCCCAAAGCTGATGTTTTCACATCTGGCTGAATGAAGGCAGGATGGAGAGAAGCAGCGACACAAGCAAGACTTTTCTTGTTGATCCAGACATAAGCTTTGGGTTTGGACAGATGTGGTGTTCAGTTGTCTTGCTGTTTTTAATGGGCTGTAACTAGAGTGCAGCTATACTGAGTTTCCAAAGGCGAGTCAGTGCACTTTACTGTTATCGTCACAAAATGAGCCAAATGTACAAAAACTTGCTATTTCTTTTCTAAAATGATATAACAGGTAGAATTTGTGGATCTAAATTATATCAGAAAGTCAAGAATGTAACTGGAAAAAAAAAAAGGAAAACATGTGTGGAAATAATGTAACTTACATCAAAGATTACATATTTGTAGCAGGTTATCTGTAAACGGTACCACATTGGACTTAACACAGCTGGACTTGAAAGTCCTGTTTCTATTAGCATGGAAACAGATAACACTCACAGTCACACATGACACATTTCTGTAAGAAAAATACGAATTCACAGTTCATCACCTTTGCATATATTTATCCGTAAAGCCATACAACTGGCTCATATTAATTCCGCAATGTAAATTCAACAATGTGTACACATCATTTATATTCATGCAATTAGGACAGCCTGTCAAATCAATTTAAATTTGATAATGACTACATTCAAAAAACACTATTATTGCACCACAGAGCTACTGTAACTACTGGAGTTACTGTACTGTAAAACTATAAAGCACATCTCTGTTTTTTTGCAGAGAGGTGTATAAATGGCAGTGTAATCGAAAGCGATTACTCCACTATTGACTCATTCAATGGACTTTTCAGATTTATAATAAAATAAACTTTCCTTAGTAAATGCTGAAAGATATGTGCCACTTCAGTAACTGTATCGCTGCACTGAAGCACCAGCACACATTCAATACTCTCTTTTCATAGGCCAGGGTTCAATCATTCCTCTCTGTGAGCTATAAAGCTGCTCCTAGTGTATGCTTATCAAACAGACAGGAAATCTCTGTCTCAACCAATGCGGCAAAACATGATAACCTTACACCGCTTAAATGGAAAGACTTAAATGGAGATTTCCTCCAACTTTCAATCTATGGATTAGAGATTTTATGACCCTGCCCTCAACTTTTACACCATTTAGCAACCAGTTCTGGATCAGGTAGAAGAGATGGATGACTCTGACATTTCAAATGTATAGATACAACCCTGCTTATTTGTTTAATTTTATTTTCCTTACTTCCATTTCTTTCCTCAGCTGTGTTCTTTGTGTGTTAATAAATCGCTCATCACACTTACCATTGAACTTTTTTTTTTTTTTAAATGTAAATTTGTAATGGTGCACTAGGTAAGGGTTATTTGTGGGATGGGATTTTGTTCAAATATATGTAAGTGTACTTCAAATTGTATTTGTATAACTTTTTTCAGCTTCTGGTACAGGGAGAAGATTTGATGTTTTGTGAGCAAATCTAAATGAAAAACTAGAGAAAACAGCGGACAAACAAAGACTATAGAGAGTTAAAATGATAATAAAGGAAGGAGAGTTTGAGGTACCAAATATTAGCTTGTGCAAGATTGAAGGTGTACAAGTCATGTGCTCCGTCTATGGGATGTGCTACGTGTGAGGGGTGGTCTTTAATTGCACCAACATATGATGCTTCTACAGGGAACTGTGCGCCTTGTTGCTGCTTTTTGGCAGGTCAGAACAAATACAGTAGTGCTGCTGAATATAAATTGGTTCTGAAAAATTTCAAAAGGTCATAGGAATTAATAGCTGTCTCTTACCTGGAATGGGTGTGGTCTCCTGTTTGTCATGCTCCTCGTGCCACTGCATGGTGCGGTGGTAGCTCAGCATAACCTCCCACAAAGCCTTGCATAGATCTGTCAGGCAGGGAATGTAGCTGTCCAGGGTAATATGCTGCCAACATAGAAGCGATGAAAACAAGGTCACTGATGCTCTTTTCTACACAGTATTTGAATTCCTTGTCATATTGTTATATTGCTCTATGTGTGTCAAATGTCTCTTATGTGCTTCTATTGTAGATAAAAAAATACTTCTGAGTTACAAAGCACACAGTGCTGGACTACTTTAAAATAAATTACAAGATTCAGCACGAGACAAAAAATAAGCTAATGAGCTGTCCTCTATGTTACATCTAATTAAAGCCTGCTTAGACTCGTCATTCAAGGCATTGTGTTGGAAAAAATCTATTTTCTGTGTCAAAAGGAACATTTTCATGTTATGTAAGAGCTAATTAAGGACTGATTTAAATAAGGATGCTATTAAGAGGGTGTCTTACTAATATACAGATTTAAAAATATCTGATGTGCACATTCGGAAGGCTATTATATTATACTACATGACAACTTCAGTTCAAAATTAACATGCACAGATGACAATTCTCAGTTGCATTTAGGTTAAAAAGAGAGAAGAACTATCCTTTTAGCAGTCATGTAAAAAAGGAAATGGATCTCACAGAGCTATTCCCTCTCAGGATAACAATGTACTGATGGTTGTCGTGGAAACAGCACTTGTGTCAAGTTCATACACATACATAAACTCATATGAGATTTTGTTTTTGTGCGATTCTTTAATCGCACTGTATAGCAAGCCCAGTACTATAGATATATAAAAATGTATATGCAGCTGGAAAACCAGTCACTGTCTGAGCATCAGAAAGTAATCCATCAGCAATGATATAATGATCACGTACCTGGGCCGAAAATGAGTTACTGCTTTCATAAAATGGCAACTTTATTATTTCTGCATTACATACAGTACATGGGAGTAATATGTATTAATTTACAAGTGAAAATAAGATATGACTGATAGTTCTGACAGCAACATGCCTTAAGTATGTCTTTAAAGAGAATTCTAATGCTGACCTGTGTTTTTTATATAAATAAATAAATAATTAATTATCTACGTACCTATATCTGACAATTTGACTTAATCCATGGACTAACTGCAACTCCTGCATAGAGCTTTGTGAGTTATTACAATGGTGCTAAATCCAAAACAGGAAAGTACTCAAAGGATAATGCACACTGCTGTTTTTCTTGCACACATCCAGCAGATGAACACGTCTGATTCTGAGCTCGTAGGAGGCCAGGCAGCCTGGACAAATGCTTGTGTTAAATTAAAATTTGGCCCACCTAAGAATAGTGCAGCTGGCACAATAGTAGCCACTGACACAGTTCAAGGCTCTACAGAACAACTCGCCTGTCAACATGCTCAGTGACCAATTAATCACTGCCAGATGAAACAGCGCTGTCGACAGCAGCCGCACTTTACTTTGTTTAAACCATGGTAATAAATAAGCATTTGCAGATCCCTGCTATCTTTCACAAAAGCATTGTAAATTACACACCACAAGCCTCACACACTGGTAATGGCAGACAGAGAAAACAGTGCATTGCAATACAGACCCCAACTGTGTCAAAAAAAAAAAAAAAAAAAAAAAACATTAGTAAAGTCCCACATCTTATTCTGGCTTTTTCCTCTGGCATGTCCGAGTCCCTGAGTGACAAACCACCATTTGCCAGGACAATCTCTCAGCAGAACATTTGCTAGGGAGACATCTGAAGTAGATTCACGACTGTGAGCCATCAGCAAGAAATTTTCATATAATGGCCTCTATCTCAATGATGTTAATGACAGAGCTGTTTCCCAAGGCAGCCAAATTCCAAACAGGCATGAATCCACTGCTGTCGAGCACTGTTGTTCAAGATGGCCTGTAATTCAACAGCCATTTCTCAAAACAGTAACATATCACTACACTGAACAGTGAAGTTTCTCGGGTAATCAAACATTTTTAGCTCTTCAAATTAGAAGTGGGAAAGTTGGTAATGTACTATACTGTATGAAAGTACTGAATACTCGAGGTATGGCGATGCTTTCAAACACATTTAACTGTTAATCACACATCAGACTGTTAGCCCATTCTCAATAGCACATTAAAGCAACATGCACTGCAAAACCTCCAATGAGGACAGTCAAATATCTCACAAGTGTAATAAATCCTCATTTAAATTAGTTTTAACTGCACTCAAACTAGAGAGGTTTATAATACCTATGCTACAATGGACATTAATCACGTTTCCTTATTGAGGACGTTTGTGTAACCATAAACACTGGGAATGCTTCTCCAAATTAACATTTTAACAACAAACCCTTACACCGCTCTGACCACAGAAAACCGTTCACAGTGGTGAACGGTACGCTTAACAAATTTGTAGAATCTAGAATTACAATTTTCGTGTACAGTCAAAGAAAATAAATGAGTGCTTAGGAAAGACCAACCTGAAATAAATAATAATAGAATAATAAGAGAAACATACAAACAGACTCCAGCACCACTGGTCAGACGGGTACGCTGATGGACCAGTTCTGACAAAACAATGTTCACATTTTGACATTCAGTGTTCTCCACCAGCCAACCGTATCACAGCAGCATGTTGCCAGGCAACTGGGGTGAGGGGACACGATATGGTGGTAAGTGGTGTGACTGTGTGTGGGGGTTCAGCTCAGTGAGTATGATGAGAAGAAGTAATCTCAGCTACCTAAGCTGATAAAAATCTTTTGCTGGACACAGCCTTTTCAATAAGTACAGTAATGAGAGTACTGAGGAGGCAGGCTTGGGCTCTATTTTGGAACAGCTATTTTCTGAAGACGGTTGCCCATCATTATGCACACGACACATGTCAAGCTGTGTCAGGGAGGTTTTCAAAAGACAAAGTGCGTCTTTTCAATTGTGTGTGGGCATCTGGAGGAGTATGCAGGAAAGAAATGCGACATACAGTATTTTACAAAAGAGTTGTGCAAGAGACTGCAGACACCCTTGATTTAGCTGATTCACTTTCTTTAGGAAAACACAATAAAACCCCCTTCCTTTCAAAAAAGAATAAACAAACAGATTAACCTGCAAGGGATCAAAAACATAGTCTGCAATCTGTAGACCTGCTGTGCCAGCAAAGTATAGCACACCCTCCTAAAGAAAGGAGTCCTAAGGAATCTCTCACACACACCTAAACACAACTTGGTGCACAAGTCTGTATAAAGAGTCTGGTTTAACTTTGAGCCAACATATTTGCCATCATTTTAACAACACGTCTAGGCACTTAGGTGCAGTAGGTTCCTACATAATAAGAAAAATCTCTTGAAATGACTTTGTAAACAAAAATCTTATCAGCAACCCTGCTACTCCTGATTTAATCTACTGGACATGAAATTATTGTGTAAGGTTAAGGACAAGTTACAGACCATTAGTAGCATTCTGGATGGCATAAAATTAGTCTGTAAGTTATTTTGAAAGTGACACAGTTTATATATTGGTTTATATATCTGCATAAAAGTGAAAAACATATTTCTTATGTATAAGGTAAAGGGCGAAGGACCCAATACAAAACCCTGTGGCACACCCTTAAAGAGTAAAGAAACTGGATTGCCCCTTCTGGTTGAGTTCTGTCGCTAGGTAGGAATGAAACTCTAAGGCTCTTGTAATTGTGTTTTTATACTACAGTGTACATTTTCTTAAAATACATGTTATTCTCTGTTTCCTGCCTGAGGACTACAGATGCAAATTAGCTAATAGAAGCTATGCACTGTCCCTGTCAAATAAACAAATAAATCAACCACTGACTGATGCTACTGCAAAGCCAAGGACTTAGCTTTTTAAGAACAACAATGGTATAACAATAGTTTAAGGCAAATTCCTTTTAACCATCATCACTTTCCATGCAGCTGTTAAATCCAGATCAGAGAATGGGGTATGAGATTGTGAGGTGTTTTTAAATATCTGCTCCCTTTTTCAAGTTGTACATGCATTATCACAGTATCTTGCTACAACAAGGTTCATTGCACATGTAAACTTTGTCAAAGGCATTGACAAATTCTCCATGGGATTCAGAGCGAAACATTATTGTTGCTATTCAAAACCCAGATTCCCCTGAAACACACAAGAATGATCCAAGAAACTCAAGAGAAAAAATATAAAGTATGGGGTATTCTGACCTTAAAAAGTAAATAAATCTGCTGATGAGATGCACAATGTTTTGCAGTAGATTAGTTTTATTCTGAAATTAAGCTAGTTAAGTAGTAGTTAAGTTAACTTAACAAATGAAAGATCATGGTACTGCTTAACATGCAAAAGCAACAGTGTATCCACTCTGCAGCCTCAAAAAATGGTCCACCTTTTAGAAATACAATTGCACTAAAGGTCAGCCTATATCAAAATAATGGGACACTGCACAATAAGAGTGGGATAGATCACTATCGGTTACTGATGAGTAGTTGTTTGATATTGTTGGGATGATTTCTCTGTCATTAGAAGGGCTAATGGCTTTGTATAACATGGGTAAAAAAACAATACTAAAAGGCTAAAGCCCCATAAACAGCTTCTAGAGGCTGACATGTGCATTACCCCCTACAACATGACTTCGCAAAATCATCAGAAACAGTATTTCTGTTAGAGTATTCCCATTTGCTGGTATTTTTTTGTCTAGAAAGCCACCCGTTGGCTGGATGAATAGCATTAATATAACTCTAACCGTATAAACAGAATGAAAAAGTTGAATAAATTACCAAAGTGTTGGCATGCAGTACGGTATATAGTCCAGCCTTTACAGTCACCTCCTCTCCTGTGAGAACCTCCTATGATTCTGGAAATGAACAGTCTTATTTCCATCAGGAGAAAAAGTCAGACAGACAGGGGTGAGGCTGGCCAATAATGATGAGATGTTGATGTAAAATTAATAAGATCCCCTCACAATCAGAACTGACCTTTCTGAGTGTTCCCATTTCCCTTGAATTTTAAGTTGTATAACTAAGAGGCAAGTTCAGAGGGTCTAATGTGGTTCCAACATTTTCTTAACCTTTATTTATCAGGGGAGCAGCAGCTGAATAAGTTTGCATTTCCACAAACACCAGGTTTCCTAGTGATACAGTTCCATGACATGAAGACATTTCTCTACTAAGCAGCTCCACTGGAGCAGGTGAGGGGCCAACACCTTGCTCAAGAGCAAATCAACGTTATTTGTTGAAAAAGCAGAGATTATTGCTTAGCTGATTTCCCCAAACACATTTTTTTACCCGGTGTGTTGATTTGACCCAGAAGTTGTCCTCAGGTATATTTTTATACTAGTCAGAGACCTTAGAAACAAGTCAGTGAGCCTCTTTGCTGTAAAATCCAAAACAACCTCCAAAGAGGATAGGAATGTAGGATATTTCAAATACGTTTTTAAGCCCATCTTCAGACTTTTAGCACCTCTTCAAAACCACCGCATAAACTAGACATTTAATTCACATGGCTGCTTTGGTTATTTCTCCTTTTGACGTTTTAAAGGTAGATACATAAGTGCATTAAATAAAATAATATAACACAAATGAACTATGTGGGGGTGTTCACATACTTCTTTGAGTGTACGCCTGTGTGTGTATGGGCTGCTCCATCAATCATGATCACACATCCGAGAGTGTAACAACACATCCCATCAATCTTAAATTGGTAAAAGAGTACAGCATATCTGTGTGTTTTTGTTTTATGAGTGGGATCATCCAGGCAACAAGGCAGAGTATCAATCAAACACAAGGTAATATTAGGACATGTCTGTAACTACTGTACAGTTGCATGCACACGGTATTTCAGGGTATCCAGGACACAGATTCCCAGTAAACGGTTAGGTCCACAGAAAAAACAATAACAAAGTGGACAGTTAAGTATGTCACTTCAGCAGATAGATAAAGATATATTTATAACAGCAGCAACCAGATTGAATTCAGCACTTCATTGACTCCTTTCAATCTAAACCATTGGTTGTCAGACCTTTTCTGTAATGACCCGTGATTTCAAAAGCCGAAAAAATGTCTTTGTGCCCCCCACACTACACAATACACAACAATATTGGGTGAGCAACCAACAAAAAAGGAATTTGATTGAAAAAACAAGAAACGATTCAGGTCAGCATGATAGCATCAGCAGTGTTTTTTAATTTTTTATTTCCCTACATAAATCATGTTCATTCAACTTAGTTCCACCCCCCCAGGATTGGAACCCACAGCCTTTATTCATATAATATTGCTTCTTACATGCCACTTACCTATTGGGGTAGAAAAACATGCATAAACTGAGAAAAAAAAAGAAGCAGGAGTAGACGAGATGAGGAGCGAAGAGGAGGAAAGGTAGCATAAAGGTAAGAGGTAAAGGGCAGGGCATTGGAGATTTGAGCACAGAGAGCAGTGCCCCTCGTAAAAGCTGTGCAGTCAAACAGCAAGGCCAGACGTGGAGCATCTGGGAGGGCAAAACTATAACATATCGGGAGAGACTGTAAAAAAAACAAACTGTACCCTCCGATCAGGCAGGGATAAACCTTGATTTGATTGGACAGTAACACAAATAAATGCATGAAAATATACATTTATCAGAACTGTCGAGGATAACATAAAGTTACAAACTTATTTCCATTGTGGTCCACCTTAACCTATACCATTTATATACCCCTCCACACAGTGGGAAAAAAACTCACTCCCAGAAAGTTTATGATGAACTGATCAAGATATGGCTTGCTGGCCATGCAAATGTGATATATTTTACAGAGAGGGGACTGAGGCGTGCAGGCCACTATGAAGAGCCCAGTCAAAAGTGCTGCTGCAGAGCATTGGTTCTGTATTGTATCAATCCCTTCCTCCACGCTTTCCGCCCCTCCTTCATTTCACTGTATTATGGAGAATCTGAATCCCATGTCATGAAATTAGGCATTTTGCGCTTGGTTACAACGCAATTAGAAAGCTAGAGCATTAATGTGAGTAACAAAGTGTGTGAGCCCAGCAGTATGTCATTTGTCCTTTCACCACTTTTGCAGGTAGCATTTTTATTCAAATGTTCACTGGACTAAAGAAGCGATTAGTCTTCACACCAGCATCTAACAAAGCGGACTGAACCTTTTCTGGCCAAAAAGCTGTTAAATTACACACAGAATGGATGAACATTGGTAGAATAAATTGACCGCCACACACACACAAACCAACATACACACTCGTCTCCTTACTGTGCACAGGTCCCTGTACTGCATCTTCTGGAACTTGGTATCAGCGTTGCCGGCACACAGCTCCACATATCCCAGCACCACTTGGAACACTGTGTTGTGGATGGCCTGGGTGAAGTGCATGTGCAGCTGGTCCATAGCAGTCTGGATTGGTGAAAAGGTAAACAGCAGGGAAACTGCAAATCAAACTTCTTGGAGACACATGCTGTACAGTTGATATTTTGAAATATTTGCAGATAGATTTTGTCGGTTAGACAAGATGGCATGAGGGAAAATAAGGATAGCTGTCTACCCTGGGAACAGCAGTGTTCAAATCCAAGTGAAAATAGGCAATATTGCCTCCGGGTTCCATGATTCACATTTCTGAAACCAGCTCAGTTTGCTGTAGAAAGTGTCATTAACAAAGCAATGAGGGTAAGAAACAAACACAATGGCAGTGACACATTTGTTACATGTATGCTGTGATGGCATAGCTAACCGCCTCCAGCTCTGTTCACATGTGGGCCATTTCATCTCATGAGCTATTTCATCAAAATGAGTCATTATCAGCCATGATAACTATGCCTTCGAGGAAATGTAACTCTTACACTGTTACACCAACCAGCCTTTTCCATTTCTAGTTAAGCTTTGTTTGAATTCACCTATGAGGAGGTCATTTCCTCCATAAAGCTGCAGAAATTGATTTTTTGGCAACCTGAGAGTAGCGCAACAATCTGTAATCACAACAAATGATCACCTTATAAAGTTGTTATGGCTAATATGTTAGGCTTAGACATCGAGCAACTAAGGAGGAACATTAGCATTAATTTAGAGTCGAGTTTCTGGCCAAATGATAAATGTACGTAAATAGTCACTCCTCTTTTAGCTCTTTAACGGTTTCCACAAACTCCTGGGGGAAATATCAGTTGCTTATAAAGCTCCACTATGTTTACCAGCGAGTCGCTTACTTTGTCTGTATGCCATTTGGGTCCTCAGCAGGCAGCGTGCAGTGCTTTTCACAATAAAAAAAAAAAGCCAGCTATCGTGGCTGGGAAAGATCCTGATGAGAATGATTAAACTAAACAAAACAGTAAAATTGTGGGCTTAAAAACAAAAAGAATTAGTTAAACTGTCGGGGTGATGATTTTCTTTGGGTTTATCACTACGAGCCACCCCTTTGACATAACACATAATCACTTGATCCAGTGTTATTATAACCATACTCATTACAGCAGCTTCAACAAAAATAATTTAATAGCAAAGTCGGAAGCCTTCATTCCTTTACCATTACTAAATCAGGGATTTCATTTGCAAGTAAACTCAAAAATTGCTCTTTCTTAAAAAAACATCTGCAGCACAATTTTGCACAACCACACACTGTGCTCTGCTTGTGTCTATGCTATTAAAGTGTGTTATTCCTTGTTCTCTTTCAAAGTCAAGTAACATATACCATAATTTTCTGTTTTGCAGCTCCCACCCACAGTCACGCTATGGGACCCTAGTGAATTGAGGACTCCCTCGCAGGAGAAGTGGGCACAGCACTGAGCAAAGCCCTATAGGTTATGGGTGTTGCAGTGCAATTAGATTTTCTTACCGCAAGCTTGTGACCAACACAATGTTGCCCCCATCCATTCTGACTGCCTGCTGCCACAAAGTCATTTAAACATTTCTCCCCCGTTTCCTGGGGGAGTTTCATGTCATCTGTCCTAAAAACACCATGAAAATGGCTGGTTGTACAAGGCATGGACTGTAGACAAGAAAAAGGAGGCAACTATGGCAACTGACATAGTAATGATCATCATCATAATCTCAGGCCACCAATCTTTATACATAATTATTAATCAAACGCAAACAGACTCATTCTTGTGCAGCTACTTATACCAAACAAGAAGATATTACATTCACATAAATGCAGGAAGGCCAACTGGCTGTCAGGCTCATTAGACTATGAGCGGCCAGTGCATCGGAGTCCAGGTAATGAGAGTGAGAGCCAAGAGAGCAATGTGAGGAGAAAGACACAAATGGCACACTACAGCCTTTTGATGATGGTGATTGCCTCTTGGAAGACAGAGTTCATTCATGTATCCAAATGAATGAGTCAGATTTGAAGTGTTAATCTGTGCCTGTGTGTTGTAGCATAAAAAAAAAAGACAGCAGTAAAAGTTAAGATTCAGACAAAGAACTAGTGCCCGACCAATATACTGGCCGATATGAGCTAAATGCATTTAATCAGCATCAGCGTTTATAACAGCAGATATATCACTATTGATAAAGAAACAGAGAGACAGATCCTTCACTCATGTCAACCCTCCTCTGTTAACCGCCGCATGCAGAAACCGGTAGAAACACGGAGAGGGCAGTGCTAGTGGTGAGTCGATCCTTTGTTGTGTCAATTACATGACTTAAATAATTATAATAAAAACAGACCCAATCACTTCTCCTCTTCTGAAAACATTCATGACTTTCTAACCCTCCCGTTTTTCATTGCCTTCTCCTGGCTTCCGCCCGGCTCACAGCAGCATGTTTAATATTACGGTAATTTAGTTGGGTGTTGGAGGCTATGCTAGTAACAGAAGTGATTGTAGATTTATTTCTGAAGCAGTGTGGCAGTTCTAGCGAACGGTCCTCTCATTTCCTCCTAGTTCATCACTTACATCACTAACAACAGCAGCAGACAGCAGCTAACGCTGCCCGTGGCTAAATTAGCCACAAAGCTAATGCCGTGTTTATTAGTGGCATAGTGCTAACGTTAATGAGCCGATAAACTACAGTTTCTGACGTATTAATATATTTGCGGGCCGCCTGTCTGCAGTTATAGCCGGTGTGTCTGAAATGATTAAACCAGAGCGGACATGTAAATAAACGTGAGCTGGACAAGAATCTAACACTGCTTCCTGTAGCTCCTCTTTGTGCGACACTGTAGATCGGTCGGGCTCTACAAAGAACATAACTAACTGGGAGAAATGCCGATGCAGGGAGGATGTGACAAACAGATTTTGTGAGAGCAAAAGTAAATGGAAAGAAAGATGAAAACAATCAGAATTTGCAATGGCAAGAGGCAGTCAACAACATCTCCTCAATTAGCTTTTGCGTCTGAAAATGCTCTTTATCACATTAAGAAAAACATTATTCCTTTTCAACAAGCCTTGATGACGCCGTCTCCACCAGTCAAGAAGCATTTAGTATATTTATTAAGATCAACATTAGGCTCAAATTTCGAATAACAATGATGCACTATGGCCGTTGTTGTACGATTGACAGGTCGAAAATGAGGCTCTCGTTCTTTGGTTGCTCAGGTTACGCGTCCATTCAACAAGGTAATGTCTACTCTAGGGATGCACCGATCCGAAACTGACTCTCTCTCAGCTGGATTGGGTTTCAGTGACAAGGGGGCCAACCTATCGGGCCGGTCTATTCAATTAAATTATGCGCATACTACACACTGTAACTTGTCGAATACCCCTCACACATTAAATGCTACTAAGTGTAAGGTAGAGAAGGTGATATTTTATTTTATGGCTATCTTATCTTATAGCACTTAAATTGCAGATATAACAGCTGTACAATAAAATGTCATGTTTGCAGAACATTAACTTATCTAACGTAACTCAATTTTAGACTGGCAAGTATCCATACATCCATCGAGAACAGTCTGGCCCAGCTCCAACATCCACCATGAGCCCTAAGCACTGACCTCGCACAGACTTTAATTATCATTACCTGTAGGCTCAGCGAAAATGTGTATGCGCAGGAGGTGCAAGGGCTCAAAATGCTGGAAGTCCACACAAACTTAGCGGAAAGGTGTTATGAGTTATTTTCTAACAATACAGCCTCATCACTGATCAGAAGGATCATGCGTAGCTGGATGCTCATTTTTAGCTGTTACTGGACTCCTAGCTTCCCCCTCTCTACTTGTTGAAGTAACAAATATTTTAAGGGTGACAATGATAATGTAAGCACAAGGTTTGTATTTCTCGCTTATAACTCAAGCCATGACTGATTACCCGTACTGGAATGCACTGATCCAGAGGAGCAGGGAGCTGGGAAGATAAATGTAGGTTTACACTTAAGTAGCATGCATGAGATCAGGGCTATGAGGAAGGAGAGAAAGAATGTAAATAAAGGCACCAGAAAATAGATCAGAGCCAAGTGAGATGCTGGAGACGATGATGGAGTTCATAGGTTATAAAAATAAGAGGCCCTAGCATTACAGTTCAACACTTTTTGTAAACAAATATTTAAGGTTAAGTCTACTATATCTCTACAGGTATTTTTTAACAGAAACTACAGTATTTTTTTTAACATAAAAGGTTTTACAGATTCAAATGAACTGCAAAAATTGTCACATGTTGGTGTGACATTATCCAAGGATTATTTCGGAATAGTGGTCGACTGATGGCCAATATATAATTCCGATATCAAAACAAAGAAACGCCATAAATAATTCATTTATTCGATGCAGAGCACAATCAAATGTTGTTTTAGATGGAATTTATATTAATGAAATAGAAAAATACATTGGGTTATGCTGTAGATTTCAGAACCTGACTGGTGTTAAAGGAAGAGTGGGGTACAATTTGGCAAAGCTGAGATCATTCAACTGCTTTATTCTCTACAGTATGACAATAAATGTTTAACGCTAACCAGTTAAGTTTTAGATTAGATTTGCCGTCATTTAGGATGGGAGAAACGTGTAACATTTAGAAAAGACGATGGTGACTGAGGAAATTTAGGGCCCAAAACTAACTTTTCACCACCTTCATAAAACTCACCTGTGTCTTGCCCAGGAGCGTGTAGGCCAGCTGGACCTTGGTGTAGTGCGACACATCAAAGTGCTTACAAGTCTTTGACAAGGCGACATCAAGCTGCTCCTGGAGTCAGCAATAGATGACAAAGGGAAAAGGGGGAGAAAGTCAGGGGGGGAAGAGAAAAGAGGGGGATTATCATCTTTAAGACCAGGGATTTAAAAATAGATGTGCAGATGAATAGCTACCACACAAGGCCACGGGCAGGTAATTGGATGTGGGTGAATATATATAGAGTGTCTATGTGTGTGTGTGTGTGTGTGTGTGTGTGTGTGTGTGTGTGTGTGTGTCTTTGACAAAGAGAGGTAAGAAAGTAACGTTAGCAGTACAGGGATGTGTAACAACCCCAACACAATAAGCCAACCTCAAAGAATATAGTGCTGACAAAGGTTAAATGATCAAATGCCTTGAGTCATCATCCACTTTCTCACGCCTTAAAGCTGCACTTGAACATAACACAATGACTATAGCTGACACAACGAGCTACTCGAGAGGAAGTAACCAGTCAGTAACTATTTTAACTGAATCTATAGTCCACAGTATTTTGAGGAAAGATAAAAAAACTAACTAGTGCCACTGTAAATTGGTCTAATTACATGTGTTGTGGAATATTAGTGGTACTTTTATGATGATTTTGATGATTAAATCCACTACATGTACAGTCTTTGGCGCCCCCTATTTCTTCATGTAGGGGACTTTAACTACACTACGTGCAGAAGGAAAAGAAGCAGAACAAAATTTAAGTAGTAAATATAGAGATACTGTAGGTTTTCTTTCAGTTAAAACACTGTCAACTGGATGTATCAACGCCCAATGCATCTAACAACAGCATATGCTGCACAACAGGAACAAAACTTCACTGATAACACATTCTCTACATTTCGACTGGGTCTGATCAGAGTGTTTTTATTTATAGAAAAAGTGCTTCACTCCGTTGACTAGGTTGCTTTTCTGTAGGGAGCCCGGACAGTAGGAGGTATATACAAAATAAATGCCGTATTGTAGAGTATATGTATATTTATAGTGTTTTTGTCTCTTAGCATTCTTAAGACAGAGCTGTTATATGCTATAATCCTTTGTGCAAGTGTTTATCTTTATGCTTTTAGAGGATTCTGCTTTGCTCACTCACAAACTCATGCTGACAGGTAAACAAACGAGCACCTTAGTGCGTGGCTAGGTAAGTGTGTGTACACGCATGCCTGTTTCTTGTGTACAGACAGAACTGTAAGTAATTAATCTACCGAAGCGCAGCAGCAGCGGCACAGAGAAAATTGCTTTGCATACCATTTATCAAACACAAGTATCACGACGCAGCTAGAGATGAAACAGATAGAATTTACTGTGCTTGCACACTCACAATATTAACTTTCTGAATGTGTCAATATTTGCCAGAGTCAGAACGAGAAAGTCAAACAGCCAATCAAAATGTCAAAATGAAACTTAAATTGCTTCCTTTAAATAAGGGCCTCTGGAAAAATAGAAGGTTTGAGCAAAATATTATTCACTGCTGAAAGTCTCTTTACTGATATCACTTTAAAATAATAGAATTAGCGATAAAACAGCAAAGTACATACCTCTATTTGCTCCAGAGTGTCTTGCAGTTTGGAATTTAGTTCGCTGTGGGGGGGGGGGGGGGGAGATTGTTGAGGGTTAGTTCCTCAGTACTGAAGCAGAATATGAAATCTACCAACATGTTTAAGATATTAATGGTTTTGTCAATAAAATGTCAAAAATCATTATAAAAATGACAAGAATAATGGCAAATTCATCACATTTAACAAACTGTATCCAGCATATGTTTTGTATTTTTACCAGATAAACATACATTCAGCAACAATTTATTTACATTCTATTTCTTATTGGTTAATTGAGTAACTATTATAGCAACCAGAATATGGCAGAGATAATATTTTTAAATTAACCACTTCATCAACAAGCTGTAGCCGTGCGTGTCATAACTCTCCTCCTCCATACAAACATGACAAAAAGGGAGCAAAAGTGATGGATGTATTTCTGACAAATATTTTGAGAACGTGAGTTTTTGTTTTCTTGGCTGTGGTTGTTTTTTCTACAGTACAATTCACTGTATAAATTGTGAGAGTGAATCTGTGCATGTACCACACTAACACGGATACAAAACGCCTACGCATCCTTGGAGCGTGCTCAGATTTAGCTTCATCCTGGGAAATGCTTTCAACTGAAAAGCTGCAAAGTAGCAACAGAAATCACGACTATTTTGCTGATCCCAAGACACAACCAATTCCCTCGTGCTTCTGCCCCCCCCGCGCCCATTCATAATCACCCTCTGTTCCAATGTTTCCCTGCATGTGTCCCTGCTTTGCTTGGGGTCTTTTTCAGGTCAGCCTGCTCTTATGTTGTGCCTTGAGACCGCAGTCGCCCAAAGGAGAGAGTGTCCTTAATAAATTGCTAATTAAGCATCTTCGCTTCAGTTGGGGATCGAGTGAGCAGAGTGAGAGGAGACAGCAGATTGAGTCCCACAGGTTTAGCAAAACAGGTAACAAACTGAGGATGCGATTTCAAAACTTGATGTGCTGAATTAAACTCCCAAGAATGATTTTACTATCAAACAGTATGATCTATCAGATGCCAATGGAGTACTACTCACTATCACACTGTAACTGAACCCTATGAGTTGGTATGCACCACAACAATGATAACACAAAAAAATCTCTAGCTCAGTTAAGGCAAGTCACAGCCAGTATCCTCAGTGGAAACCACGACTGCAAGCCAATATAAAGAAAACACACAAAGTAGTAAGTAAGCTGGCTCAACTACAGAGGGGTGGAAAGATCAATGTCAGGTCCTGGCTACTGAAGAAATACATCTGAATGTTCATATGCAAGGCCCAGGAGAGTGCAAAACAATGGCTTACAGCTCTGCCAGCCACACTAAGATCCATCAGAGTAGCAGAGGTCAACAGGATAAATGCCCTGTTCATCAAAGGGCTTTCACTCCCACGATGCAGTGTGGTACAATAATGAAAGCTAAACCACAAACTGAACAATACTGGAAGAGAATATGAGAAAAATAAATCATCCCACAAGACCAACCCTCGGGGGAGCGGGCTAACACACCTGAAAGTAAGGCTGACTACTGAATTTTCCCAGAACAGCAGCCAGTCACCATCACAGCATAGCAGACCTCCAACAGAGAACTGGACAGCAAAATGACATGACCCACACCAACTGGTTGAAGGAACTAAAATACACACATTATTAAGAAGAGGTTTGGCAACTTGGGATATACGCTTATCTGCTTTCTGGCAACCCCTTGGACAGCTAGCTCAACAGGCTCTGTCCAAAAAAACTACACCTACCATCACCTCTGAGCTCATTGATTAATGTATTATATCTTGTTTGTTTAATCCGAACAAAAGCCAGGCCAAGTCAGTAACTTCCTCACTAGTTATGGCAAGGATTTAACATTTCTGTTTGCATATGGATTAAATAAACAAGACCAAACATAACTGTGTCATTTAACTCTTCACCCCATGCTTCCAGTCTTTTTTGCAAAGCTAAGCTAACCATTAGGCTCTAGCTACATATTTAGCAGACAGACATGACAGTGGTGTCAATCTTCTAACCTCACTCTTAGAAAGAGAGCTAATAAGAGTATTTCCCCCAAATGTCGAGATATTCCTTTAACACCCAGCAGAACACATGAACAGTTATTAACAGCTGGCCCCCACCCTCACCGGGTATCACAAGGTAGAACCATCCAACTGCCAACCAATGACGTGCCTCTTCACGTCATCTAAACTCCTGTTACTCATCATAACCACTAAGCTAAATTGACAGTGAATTAGTAAAGTCTAAAATGAGTCTGGAAAATCAACCCTCAGCACTAAACACATAGATCCTTGGATGCTCGGCACAATACAAACCACTAACTTGATCATCTTTAAGAACGTTCTAGGCTTTGGAAGAAAGCCACAAGAGGTCAAATCAAAGTAAACTATCCAGTCCTCCAGTTATTGTGTATATATTACTAGATTACACTGTCCACTGTCTGTTTGTGTGTGCAGATGCAACTCCTCCCCACATACTGGCACCCTTCCATGATCAGACAGAATGCATAAATAACAGATGAGGAGAAAAACCTAATTAACAATCCATTCCCTGCAGGGAACACAAGGACTGAAATAGAGTTACGTGGAAGTTTTTCCAGCACATATTCAATTATCACTGGCAATAGGTGTCCACGGGGCCTTGAAGCATGTCCCTCCACAGCAACTGCTGACTTGCTAAATAGGCAATGTGTGGACTTGTGTGCTTCAAGGGTCCTGCCGGTTGCTCAGAATTTGTGAGAATGTCGTTTTGTTCCCTCTAGTAATGTTAGCCAATGTTAGCAGAGAGGCAACAAAGTGGCAGGGGAAGGGCTTCAGAGAGTGAAACAAAGCAAGAAGGGACAAGACCAAATATTATTATGCAAATGGAGGTTAGGGGGAAGCTAAGAGAAAAGGTTAAGAAAAAAAAGATTCAGCTAAGAGATTTTGGAGAGAGAGCACTGGGAACAAGTGATCGCGCCAAACCCAGAGAATGTGCACCGATTACTTTCTTGTCTTCTCCAAGTGCAAGACTTGATGTACTATTTAGATTTATGGCTCTGGCATATCTAGCGGGGATGTGGCCATTTCTCCACGAGTAAAGTAATGATTTATTGGCTCCAAGGTTACATGGGCCATTACGCAAAAAGTTGATGACCTAAAGCTTTTGTTTTTTTGTTTATTTCTTAGTTTGTTTTCTAGACCTAGACATGTAAAACTGGGAATACAGTCAAGTGCAGGGCGTTAAGTTTAAAAATAGTCGTCTTTTTTAATATATGCTAACACAATAACAGAGTTCTGTCTGTTATACTGAATATTCAGTAGCTAATGTGAACATCCAATTAAATTTAAACTTTTGGAAAGCAGATTACATAACTGAAAAAAACAGGTTTGCTGGGGTAATTAATGCACCCCGGCATTATAGGTGCTCATCGTGAAACATAACTGACTGCGTTTGCAAATAAACAATAAGTAAGTGAAACAGTAACGTTGGTGTGTAAAACAAAAAGCTGCCAGAGAGAAAAAAAACACCCCCGAAAGAAATGTTCAGATCAAAGTAACTGACCCAATTTTAAATCTGTCCTAAGATCCTACAGTTGTTTTGTGGTGGGGCCTTTTATCATGTTCTTTCTAAAGAAAACACAATTACAAGTGACACACTACTACTAAAAGCTGATATACACGGAGATCTTCTTAAAACTCTGCACCAGCTCAATCACACAGCCTCCAAAAGAAAATGTACGACCACAAAGAGGAGGAAGAAGGCTCCATGGCTCTGTATAAATTGGTAAACTGCTACAGTGCTTACTATTTTGTTACATGTAGTAATGCACAACATAGTTTGTGTATCTGAGACACAGAAATTAATGTTGCAGCCCCTCTGCCCTTCTACCTACACTTGAACATGCAGCTGAACCGCCGCAGTCTGTCAGAATGTCTGAACAAACCACCTCCCCCAATACTAAGACGGCAATTAGCTGAAGTGAAGTACTGGAGGAGCTTTACCTAGAATAACCCATTGACAATTTGTTTAACAACTCATATAAAATAGCTGGCATGTTCTGATCCAGAGTAAAATTAGTTTAATTTGTGGAATTCTTTAAGAATCAGGTCCCAGTTTGGGTTCGGGAGGCAGACACCCTGTTCACATTTAAGAGTAGGCTTAAGAAGTCTTGAACCATCTCTTAGTTATGCTGCTATAGGTCTAGACTGCTGGAAGACTTCCCATGTTGCACTGAGTTCCTCTCTCCTCCTCTCCATCTCCTTCTGTATGCATTCTTATCCAATTAGTGCATGTTACTAACTCAATGTTTTCTTTCTCCCATGGATTCTCTCTCCTCCCATCACTTTCTGCAGTTTCTGGCTCCGGATCATCATCCGGTTTGTATGTATGTATTTAAATGTATTACCTTTGTGTGATACAAAAATTAACTTATTTTCCCATTTACTCTTACTTCTGTGCAGCTCACAATACTACAAAGAAGCTCTAAGGAAGATTATATCTTTCTTAAGCTGCCCAACTGCTGCCCATGTGGGCCACCTGATGATAATGGACTGAGACGGAGCATGAGGCTGTGTAAGTGCCTTCTTAGGAAAACAGTATTGACTTTTAAAGGGCTGGGGATGGGGACAAATAAAAGGCAGGCACGGAAAAAAACCTCCATGCTGGACATTCAGCAGAACACCAAAAAGCCTAGCTACAAGGTTACATCAAAGTGCAGCAGAGCGGCAACTAGCTGCTTAGAGAGGGTGATGTTGCAGTCAGGATTCTGCAATTTTGGGCAGAGAGCCAAAGTACAATGTGCACACTAATTCAAAGTGTGACAAATGTGATGCAACCCCATCAATAGTAAATTAATGACACAGTGGAAACAAAAGTGATATTTACACAAATAAAGGAGATGCATATTGATCACCACTTCCCCAGCAGTCAGTCTGTCACTGGAACACAGCATTGTCACAGCCAGCGCTACATTGTTTTATACTCTTCTCCGTTAATATGCTGTGGTAAGTGAATGGCAACCGGCAGCGTTTGTAGAAGCAGCAGCTCCTTCAAACTTTTGTTTTTTTTATCATTTTTTTAATTTAATTTAATTTTTTTTTATACGGCTTTCTTGCCAAAACACGTGTTACCTCTGACAGAAATACAGTCGGGCTCTTTGGATTAAAGAGCAGCGGACAAAGATCAACCCGGCCCAAACAACTAGACCAGGTGCGGCGATAGCGCAGAGGAGAGGAAAGAGGGCCTGGATAGGAGCCATGTTGGCCCAGCCTGGACTTAATTTTGCTCCTCAAGGTCCGGTCTGGACAAAATGGGACTCATGTTGACCAAGCAATGGAATTCAGAGACTGTTGTGCCCACATCATTAGAGAAACCTGCCCCCCATCAAAATCCCAGATCAAGCACTTGGCAGATGGTCAATGCTCTGAGCGCAAGACTCTGGCATGATGAGAGGAAGTGGACTCCTGTGTTTTACATCGATGATGCCTGGAGCTCAAACGCATTTTCCCAAATGTCAAATTGTGAAGATGAAACCATTTTATCATCTGGTTGCTGCTGTTTATATTCACCCCAGATGCAAATTCAAAAAATGCACTGCAGAATGTTCTTGGTGTATACGTGTATGTATAGAAATCACTGTATACAGTGTTTTATTTTATTATTAGTTAGCATATTTTAATATACACTTATTTATACGTTGTGTGTGTAGCATGAAGGGACGGCAAATTTTGTTTCATTAGACAACCTTGTGCTGTATAATGACAAATAAACAAGCTTGTACCTTATATTTTGTTATTGATAAGAACTCAACACTTCCTGTATGCGTTTCATAATAAGTCTGTATGTACTAATATAAAGGCACAACAGCCTTTACACTGTGAAACCGACCACCTCAGGAAATGTTGCAAACAATGCCCGCAAGGTAGGTTACCAAACGTGGATTTGATTATTTTGTTCTAAGCTGTTAGTTTCAAACAAAAAGGAGGAAAACGCAGAAGTCAAACATGGCGGCTAAACGTAGAGGTGCAGATGCTCAGTGTTGTTTAAAAGGTCTGTATATGAGGGAGCAAGTATGATTTTTACACGGAGCTCTGCTGACATGGAGCTCACTGTTTTGTGATGCCAGCGCATGCTCCACAAATAGACCAACACACACTCTGCCATGCATGACAACATAACGAAATACAGCAGGAACAGTATGTGTTTGTGTTATGTGAGTGTGTGGTGGGAACTGCTAAAGTATTTTGTTCCCACACACCTCTTCATGACATATTCTGTCCGAGTCTGTACATGGTGTTGTGTTGCGGGAAGCCAGCAATGCATCCCTGATCAATCCTTAATCAATACACAATGGAGCACTGCGGCACCCACCCACTGCCACAAATTGAGCAGAGTTACACAGGAAATCAAAGGGACAGAGATGATCGCCCCTTTGGTATTCATATAAACACACAGATGCTTATACACACACACCATTAATACACCAACAATATACCCTATACTTTCAAATCCCACTCGTATCTTTAATTGGTGGAAAGAGCAAAGAGGGTTTATAATGACAGTAATGTGTGGGCACTATCAAAACATATTATCTGTCCTCCTGTCTGTCTTTTTTATTCTGTCTAACCATCTATATGACATGACTAACCAGCTGCCTGCCTGTCTCTCTTTACCTTGTCACTGGACACCTTGCGATCCAAAACAATTTTCGGCTTTCACAATTAGAGATAAGCAATAATATGCTCAAAGCTGGCAGCTGCTTTCAAACATATTCCAAGCATGCCAACCACAAAGTTTTTAAACTACAAATGTCCTGGTTTAGACTCTGTACATTTTTCCAAGCTAAAATGTTGGCAAACCTTTAAAAAGTGCTTTGACGTCATAGCCAATGCAATATAACAGCCACAAGGCAATGACAAGGAGCAAAACAAGAGGTAATAAAAAGCCCCTTCATAAGACTTCCAGAGAACAGAGAAATTATGTTCCAACCTTGAGAGAAAAAAGGTAAAAACAAAAACGCAAGGCATTTGCCACGATTGTAAAGGGAACTAATTTCCTAATTTCTACCTTAGCAGAGTTGACATCTGATGATTCCAGACCGTCATCACTCAGAATGGTCATATTTATATCACATTTGAATCTATGAAAGCTTTCCATCTACCTAAAGAAAATGAAGTCCATGGATGCACCCATTTGGATACAACTAAAAATCACTCTATGAATCTGTTCATACCTGATGCAGCTGTAGTGTTTGAAGGTGCTGGCAGCCTTCTGGCATTCCAGACAGAGCTGGATTGCACCTGGATAGTCTTCCTCCTAAAGGAGCAGAGCATTGATGGTCCTTTAACATCATGTATAAAATACAATATATTGACCAGGGTTTCATGTCTGTGGAATTTTATATATATAAAATATAAAGAAACTGGATAGTTCTGAATGATGTCAGTGTTACTGTGTCACTTGATTCAGTTTAATCATCTTAAAAACGATTGTTACAGCAGATAACCAAGGATTTTACACTCAGTGATGGCCAAATCCAGTCCATGTGCTACAGCTGACCTTCACAATAGAACAGGCATTTGTCAGAGCATCTAGTGTTTGTGTGGGTTTGGCTTTCAATGTAGAACCCCTAGTGATGTTCGACCTTTCAAGTCAATTCTAAACATATCTCTGCGTGTGTGTGTGTGTGTGTGTGTGTGTGTGTGTGTGTGTGTGTGTGCGTGCGTGCGTGCGTATAGAGAGGATTACAATACCTCAAGCATCTCGCTGAGTCTTACATCTGTTCTTTGCTGTGAGGGACAGTTGCGATGATTATTGTAGATTACATGATTTCATTTCACAGCAGCGACATGTCACACAGTGTGTTTATGACTATACTTCAAACAGAAACAGCTCAGGGTAGAGTCTCGCAGGAGGAAGGTCAGATTCCCAAGGGGATTCAAAAAGCAGGTCAGACATATAAATGAATCAACCAAATTAGTATATAATACCTGTAATGTAATGTAGTAGAGAAAGGTGCGTTAATTGTTTTACACAATTAATTAAAGGATAGCTTATAGACCAGCTTTCATTGAATTAAATGGGCATCATCTTAGATGCTGGAACAATCTGTGTAAGGCACAGCACTCAAACTGGCAGGCACTATTTGGTTATGGAAGTGAAAAAAGCAGCAGCACTCTAACTCAAGGACCCAATTTAAAGCAGTTACTTGGGACTAAGGGAGAAACTTTAGCTCAGAGATCACGCTCAATCGTAAACCAGATTGGTTCCAGAGTGATCAGGGTGGTAAACCCACAAGTGCAGGAGTCTATGGATCTTACTCAGCCTGTTTGGTAGCAAAACGCCAGTCTCACTTTACATTGTAGGTAGATGCAGTTAGAACAAAATATGTTCTTGTATGTGTGTTAACTTTACCAGCGTCTTGATGGTCCTCAGTGACTTAAGCAGGCCTGTCAGCAGTTGTCGTCTCCTCTGATTGGCCAGTAAACCCAGACTGGCTTCTGTGAATCCCTCCTTTGCAACACTCAGTTGCCTTCAAACACAGTCCAGAGAGAATATAGCATTAATACAGATCAATTATTGCAGTTAATGCAGAGGTGGCAGCACCAGGAGTATATTTAATCAAGACTGCATTTCTGGACAAATCACTGGTAAGAATAGTTTAAGCTTATGATATTTCAGGTTCACCAAAATGTGTACCTGATCATTCTGAACGAATCACACGAGACATGAAACGTGATACATGTCCTAAAATTTATAAGATGTAACATGAAGAAAGTATCCTATTACCACTCAAACGTATTTTTCTATATGAAGGGAAGGAATGTCATCAACGTTATGACAAAAGAACTTAGTATGCAGATGCGGTTTGAATGGACTATTTCAGCAGCTATTCCATTTAGTGAATAGAACACTTTTACCTCCTTGCATTAGTGCAAATGACTGCTGCCAGCTGCAGGTTAGTCTGTAACGCCGTCACTCGCTCCAGTTCCTGTGAACAAGGAACACAGTAAGTAAGACATACTGTACCTATAAAGACTGGGATCGAAGAAATATCTATTGAGTGCTCAAAATTCTACAATATTCTATAGTGCAGAGGGCTTGTAAAATCTGTAGGATACAAAGATACTGTTAGACCAGTTCATTTATGATACTGTCAGTGAAATTTAACTGTAATAATGCCATTTACCACGCTGCCCCACTAAAATACTGCACAGACTTGAACAGCAATGCTGTCTCTCACACACACACACACATATATATATATAAATGTATCAGAGCACTCTTCAGTGAGATGCATCCTGCTGTGAGCATTTTATGAAGATGGATAGTACAGATGATGCTATTATAGTAAGCAATCAATCATCAATGCCAAAATTCAAGAGAACAACTTTCAAAACACATAGAAAATGAGAGAAAATCTCCCTTTCTTCAGAGCTTTGACATTTAGAAAAGGATCAATGAGCACTTTGCTCTGAGAGTTCAGTTATTATGCCACTTCATGACCTCAGTTGAGAACAAACAGACCCTCAGCCAAAGAAGGACCGAGGGACAAATTGCATCACCGTTATATTTTCAGTTTTTCTCTTTGTTTTTATTTACTTGATCTGCCAGATGTCATGCCTGAGGTGGGAGACGCTTGTTCTTTGATCTCATTTTTTAAAGTTCTATCACCCCTCCGCAAAAAGGTCCAGTGTTCATAAAATGTCCTCATACCACTGTCAGACATAAAACAACCTTTTACCAACAGAATATAGTCCGGGGAAATTCATTTTCAACGGTAATAAAAACAACAACAACATCATCAATGTGCCACTTCAGCTGTGGGTACTGGAAAAATGACCCCATTCAAACCAATCCACCCTCATGATCTTGAGTGTTGACAAAGACCTTGACAAGTCCTCAAAACAGTTTGCAAGGGTTGATTCAGTAGCCAGGGTTTTCTCTAAGGGGACATGCAACATGCGACTCTTATGAGCTTCTGCTCAGGGCCTGTGAAATTGGGACTGTTAGACAACAGCAGCATGCCATGATCCTAATTCAAAGAATGGGTTTAAGTTTTTGTTAAAGCTAACACTTTACTGGCAGAGAAATCAATAAACTGCTTAAGAATAGTTTATCATTAAGCTATCATTAACTTTTCGGTAATTAAAGGAATAGTTTAATATTTTGGGAAATACGTATAATATAGAGTTAGATGAGAAGAGCAATACAAATCTCATAGTTGTATGGTACATGAAGCTACAGCCTGCAGCCGGTTAGCTTAGATTAGCAGCGTTTTAGGGGCATATGTGACAGACTATTTCTTGGCCCGACGCAGTAAATACAGCCACAACTTGTCACTTTTACCCTTTGCTTTCAATTTTTGCACTTGTAACATTTGGAAAGAGGCAGGCTAGCTGCTTCCTCCTCCAGTCTTTATGCTAAGCTAAGCTAACAACCTGCTTGCAGTAGGTTCATATTTTGTGTACAGTTTTGAGAGTGGCAATATTTTTATTTAGGCTAATACTTGTCAAGACAATAAATAATAGTATTTCCCAAAATATCAAATACATTTTGAATACAACCTGATGTCCATTTGTAATGCATTCCAGTGTTTGTTACACGTCATATTAAGTAATGTATCTAATCTTGATGCTGGTGAAACATCACCATCATTATGCAGTTTTTTTAACATGGTCTAGGAAAATATTGACATTGTATAACGCTCACATTGGTGCTTTTGCAAATCAAATACTACTCAAACATCTAAGAGCAACTGCCCATGAATCCTTTGCACATCTAGAACAGAAACTTTTCTTAAATAAGTTCAGAAGCACTGGTCAGAGCAGTTTATGAAAACATGCAAGTGCCATAGTGGCCTCAAATGTACGTTAAAATGTGTCCTCAGAAAATACCATTGCACTCCAAGCAGCAGGAACTGGCTGGGACTGGGCTGACTCACCAGGTACAGCTGAGGAATAATTAGAGACTGAATCCGGCAGATTGATTCACATACTGGGAGAAGCAAAACTTCATCAATTTCATGAAAGTGACAGAAACTGTAAAATGAATCCATGATACATCACTTGTGTATGGATAGTACTGGTTGGTTTAATTCAGTTAATAATACTAAAGAAGTGCCCTCGGGGTCAAATCTGGTCAAGGAAGGAGCCATTTCTTTCCTGTGTCGTTACCAGATGAACACACACGCTCTGACTTACACTCTTTACTTATGATGCCAATTATCAAGGCAATGTCGTACATAACAGTTGTCCAAAAACTCAGTTCATGTAATGCAGGAAGCCTTCAGTATTCAATTATGCGCACAAATCCTCACAGATAAGAAAACAGCTTGAATGTAGTTTCAAACTGAACAACACACACTAAGGCATGCTCATCATGCTCAGTATGTAGCCTGAGGCTCCAATTTTTGTTATACCATTGCTCTGAGCAATCTATCCAGACAACTGGTTCAATCAGCTCAGCTTGTGTAAGAGGACATAATACAATTGTGCACAGGGGTTTCAGAAGATAAAAGAGGTTAAAGAGCTGGTAAGCATGACTGGGATGAAAAGAAACGATATGTGGAATAAGACAAGACAAGTAAAGACAGGCTGAATTCCACTACATAACAACACACAAACGCAGGTCTGTGTGTACTGTGTACACATACAGGAAAGGTGAGCCTATGTTACTCAAGTACTATTAAACTATACAACCAGACTGCTACAATGTCCTCGACCACAGGTGCTGGTGTATGGAAGTGAAGGTCAAACAGGAGATGATGTTTAGTCACAAGGAGGATTGTTTTTTTTATTCATATATTCATTCGAGCTCCTCCCTGCGACCCTCCAGCACATCGACTATGCACTGGCTCCCTGTTACCCATCCTGCACTGCACCTTCTAACAATGCCGCTGTTTGGGCTCTGCCCAAGTTGATTTTTTTTGCAGATTAATGGAAAACAAAAACTGAATGATAATCAGAACACACAAGTGCAGTGATTCACAGCTGTAGTTGACTTTTTTTTTTTTTTAATAGTATGTTTATAGTGTGTACATGCATAGTGCTTTTCTGGTCTTTGCGACCACTCAAAGCGCTTTTACACTACATCACATTCACCCCATTAACACACATTCATACGCTGATGGCAGAGGCAAAGAGACATGCAGACAGGAGGAGCTAGGGATCGAACCACCGCCATTCTGGTAAGTGGCCATACCTGCACATCACTTATATTAACAGCCCTGTTTCATGTTAATATCTGGTCTACCCAATGAAGCAGCCATAAGACCGCCATGTATTTGGCAGGTATGACCACCAATCTATTTCAGAGGAGGCAACTGGGAACACAAAGGCACCAGCAGGAACTGTGATGAATAAGAGTTTCCAGAGGAAAATAACTGAATGCCAGTCAAAGTCCATTCCTTTCCAGTGGTGTTGACCAAACTGTTCAGGACTACCTGGTGCAAATTAATTACAGCTTGGACTCCCAGAAGGCAATCTTTCTTTCCTGACAAGTCAAAGGGTCATGTAGTTTGGTCACTCTATTCTAAAGTCAGTTACTGGCAGTTATTTCAAATCGTTTACTGGATCATGCCTTGAACTCATGGAAAATATTATATACGTCCATCAACTTTAGAAAGCCAAATTCATATGCAGAGGTATAAAAATTTAAGAAAAGGGCAGCAAAATGGGCACCTGAAAAATATACACTTAATTAGTAAAGAACAGTTGTTAAGAAATCAATAATAATCGTTCTAGCCTCCTACAGGAGCAAGCTTGAGTATGATTTTGACCCTTTCCGAGTGCAAGTGGAAGCCATGTGTCACTAGACGGCATCAACGGTGGTCAGACACAGGCCTCAACAGAAGAGGGATTAGTCAGTACATGGCTATGAATCACATCAGACGCTTTGCAGGCCATCCTTTCAAGCACTGAGGCATGAGTGTATGTGTCTGCACAATTTATGTGTCCACCGACGTGTTATACACAGCACACAAGAACTGGGGAGAAGTGGCATTGTGCCCTGCGGCTGTGTGTTTCTGCAGCAGTGCGAGTTTCTGTGTACACTTGATAAAATATCACACAGCGCTAGGGTGGGTATCATTTAAAGTTTTACAATACCAGTACCAAAACCAGTACCTTAAAGTGATACAAAAATCAACCAGATCCTCCTCATCCTAATTAGGTCATCCTCACAGGTAGTATTATCTGGGGAAACACTACAGATTGGGAATACAATCCCCTTAAAATTTCCACTTTGTGTGTGTGTATGTGTTGGAGTCTGTAGTTGCGCAGTAATAGAAATGGAAGAGAGCTAAATGGCTGACTGGGTGGGAGAAAGATAGTTGGTTGGTTACATCTACTGGTTGTGTTTGTCCTTTGTCATTCTAATGAGCTGGACATTAATGGGAATTTTAATGAGACAGCAGAAGTGAAATAGTTTAGTGACCAATTAAGTTGTGGGAATCGCATTTCAGGTAACTTTTTGATACGTGTGTCAAAGTAGCCTAAACAACGGAAAATTATTTTGTCAACTTTTGATCAATAAACTGAATTGAAAGAAGTGCTTTTTCCTTTATTGGTGAGTCGCAAACCTCCAAAAACGACAGTCACAAGTATAAAACGAAAAATGTGTCCGTTTAAAGAAGTCACTTAACTATACTAAAGACACAAACACAGGAAATGAGAGGCTGCACGTCCAGCAGATCAAACAAACTACACCTGAAGCAGCTGCAGCTGCAGCCGGAGGCTCTGTGAGTAAAATCAGCTAATGGCTGCTGTGCCACAAAAGGGTTTAATTGATGTGATGGAACGCAGTGATCAGAGACAAGTGATGTGAATAGCACATACAAATGTACAGAGAAGTGTTAAATGATACCAGAAGATGAAACCAACAGATAGCCAATCTTGTGGTGATAAACTTGCAACAGTGACGAACATGCCTGAGACCGCAGCCGAAGGTGAGCTGGCTGTTAAAATATGAGCTGAGATGGGTCACTGGAAATCCCTGCCACTGTCCAATAATAAGCCCTGCTGTCATTTTGACTTCGCAGAGTCACAGGGAGGGTCACAGAAATAATGATCAATTTACTATTCATAGGCTGACCTTCAGAGGGCTTAACAATGACAGTAATTTCACTACATACCACGTTTGGTAAAGCTGTCAGTCATCTGCTGTGTTGCTGGGATCAAAGCTTCCCTGACTAAACACAAATTTGACATACTCTTCCAAACTTCAGTAGTGATATGGCTGACAGGACTAGTTTGCTTTCTAAATTAAATAAATCAAAAGAGCAACTCCTTCAATAAAATCTAACACACACAGGCAAATATACATATTTTGGCATACACAGATGTTTGATCTCCTGGCAAAACCCTTTTATCTTGAAGCCCACTTGATGCAGTCCACAAATCAGCATACACAGACATATTTACCTAGTTATCTTACTTTGAAAGATCCTGATGCTGGATTCAGGTGTTGCACCAGCATCTGAATAGAGCTTCATTTGCTAACAAGTATTGATATCCAAGATTATTAAACTGCCAAACCTGCTTCTCTTTTATTTTTGTATGTATCAGTGGGTTCAGCAAACTCTTAACTCGTGTTTTTAAGGTTTAAAGGGTCGCGAATGTTGCTGTTGGTACAAGATGTATTTCTAAACAGAATTAGATGAATGAGATCACATCTGTCCGCTGACTGTCAGATGAATAAAATCAATGAAAAGAACCATTGTGACTCATCACTATAGTAAATGTGGTCTCCTGTAATCTCTATTGGCTCTGACCGAAAGTAGGCGGAATGTATTCTTACACAGTGGTGCATTTCAGGTCATTGCAACATCACTAGATGATCAAAGAAGGGATTTCATGGACTTAGTTTTAATTCACAAACTATGTTCTGATAGAGTTTTGCCCCCTTTTTCTTAACCATGGGTGATGTCAAGTTTTCTATTGCCATGGTTACTGAAATTCTACCTTATCTTGCTAGAGGTCAGCAGCTGACACAGGAACACACAATCATAACAAATCATAAGTTGAAAAAAGACTGTATTAAATAAAAAATAAAAAAAACACCAAATGGGAAATACAGCTGCAATGTTTTGGAATTAAATTTCAGCAGATGAAATACTTTTTTGAAGATGAGAGGCTGGGACACAAAGAGAAAGAAATGGCAGTTTAAAGTGGTCGTTGGTTGACACTAGAGGCTTACCTTGACATAAGCAGGCTGTTTCTCCAGAATGAGATCGGCGACCTTTTTAGAAACCTACAGAAAAGAGAGAGAGAGAGAAGAAAAAAAGATGAGGTGAAGATGAAGTGGAATATAACAAAAAAGTAAAAAGACATTTCCACATTTCTTCCGAAATGTCACCCCACAAAACCTGTTTTGGCAGCATGATCTTGCTATTGAGGATAGCAATCTTTCTTGTCTGTATCTAAACCGCACAATAGCTAAAGCATTTTAAGAGTGCCTCCTGTTTCTCTGTTTCTTTTGATTCAACATTTTTTTTTCAATAGCATTACTCTTGTTTCTTTCAGAAAGGTCTCTGTTCTCTTTGTTCCTTTATGCCTTTTACCAACTTGACTTATTAAAAAATACTTTTTTTCCTCTACTCTATCCTTGAATGGAATATTTCTGTAAATTTGCACAGGCACGCTTGAGTTGATAATCACTTTCCAGTTTACCTCCTAATCAAGACATTTACATTAGATGATTTAAATTCCATGAGTCAAGCTCCAGAAAGGCTGGATCCTACATTCCCCATAATGCAACCCAACAGTGTCATTACACGCTTCCTGCCAGGTAAACACCACATCTTTTAAACCCCAAGCCAGTATGTAATATAGGCATGAATATGGAGCTTTAAAACTCAAGCTGAATTGACCCTAATGACATCTTTATGACATCATCAGGGTTATTTTCTTATTTTGATCTGTAAAATAGGTGAAGCCCCTTTTACATTACCCAGTGTTACAGACAGTACAAACATGTACATTCTCATATATGCTCAGTAAGGGCTAATTTCTAGAAATCATTTCAATGTCACAGTTAAGAATGAATGAAGCTCAAATGTTTCAGATCTTACTACAAATACATGAGCTGGACATTAATAGGCAGCTCATTAGAATGACAAAGGACAAACACTCAACCAGTAGATGTAACCAACCAACTATCTTTCTCCTACTCAGTCAGCCATTTAGCTCTCTTCCAGTTCTATTACTGCGCAACTACAGACTCCAACACATACACACAAACAAAGTGGAAATTTTAAGGGGAATTTATTCAAAGTAGTGAGGAGGTGTTTATATGTGCTGTTATGCAGCAGAGCAGGCTCAAGGCGGGGATGACATTTCAACATGTGTTTGTATGCACGGTGGCTGACTGACTGAGACCTGAACAGATGGCGAACGCAGCTCAACTGTTCATTCCACAGGGTCAGAGAGAAATTGCATTCAGTACTTGGAAGAAGTGGAAGAAATTGGAAAAGGAAAATAAAAGGCAAGGTGGAATCGTGTTGAAGAAGCCCAAAACAGACCTTCAACCATTCACAAAACTGCCCTAAACTTAAGCCATAATGCCACCTATTGGCAACACACTGGCTATAACACATAATAATAATAAACTTTTAAAGGAGTGAAAAAGTCTAAACACATAATGGAAACTCAGCAGAAAGTAACTAAGCCGTCCTATCTGAGCAACAAGGCCAAAGTCATTAGTTATTCTCACACACGCAAATGAAGGATAATTGCGCAGTAACTAAAGCAGGAACAGTGCATGTAATATTTAGCAGATGGAGTAAATTAACAAAACCTGTGACTGGCAATGAACAATCATCAACTCAGACGCTCAGCAGGACAATGGATTCAATTTTTTCCCGTAGGGAAATGCGGCACAAGGGAGAAAGAAAAATGTCAGAAAAGAAGACAGATACATTATGGAGACAGCACTCTGCAGCTCACACACATCCTCTATTAGAAAGAAAAGCTAACGTTGGTAAGAGAGTTTTAACATGTCTGGACAGTTTATCAAGCAAATGCTCATTAGCAAGACAGCTGTACATCATAGATACATATATAGTATGTTAGGCTTATATGTCCGAATAAGAACATGTTTGCTACTTCTGTGTTAACTGAGATGTATGAGGCAATTAGAGCTTAATTAGCTAGCGCTAATTAGGGGTGGTAGCAGTGAAAAAGTATCAAGCTAAGCTAAGTTCTAGTGAAGGTCAGACAGAGAAAAATCATCAGTGAGGGTTTCCACTGGCAATGTAAGCCGCATTCACCTTGAAGCAGTGGTCTAATGCACTGCTCCTTCACTTCATTTTGTTTGTGCTGCAGGAGAAAAAAATAATCAAAATTGCCAGATGAAAATAACATTTAGAAAATGTACTTCAAGGGTTCAAACTCTTTTATGTAGTGTCACGTTCTGTCAGACTGACTTCTAAATAGAGTGTTGTGCTGTGCGTGTACGTCTCTTTTCATGCAATGACGTGATCACTGTTGCTTTATCTTCACACACACACACACACACACACACACACACACACTTTGTTTCAGCCTGTTTTGAACACAAAGACAACTTTGGCAGACAGGCAGGGATAAGGCAAAGGTTGCATAAGCGTTACTAATTTTTTCAAAACTGAGCAGCGGGAGAGAATTCATTATTGCTGCACGAGGGAGAGGCATCTCTAGCTTTCAAGTTTCATTAAAAATTGAATATGTTCATCCACCTTATTAACATTGCCTCCTCCGACATCCAAAAAAGTCACTCTGAAGTGGATGGGAATTGTAATGCAAAATGTTGTAATATACTGCCCATGAGCTGTCCCTGGAAAGGCATTAAGCACTGATGATGATATATACATACAACATATATAGTCTTGGCCACAGGTAGTCTTAACGGCTGTAACGACGGTCGTCACAGCAACAAGGAACACTAACGAACCAGCGGTATCGATGACCCGGGCCAACGACCGCACTGAGGTTAAATAGCTGAGTTTCCCTGCCAGTCAGTCAGCACTGAAGAAGTCCTTTGGATGAGGGACGAAACGTCTTCCAGTATCTTCAACCAAGTCCAGTTGCCCTTGATTTTAACCTTTGTTGGATAACTATGACCTGGATGACTGAGAATCTTCATAGACATTAAGCTCAAACTTCTTCAGGGGGCATTTTAGGATTATGGCAATCGGAGTTAAAGCTATAATTAGGGTTTAATTCATGTTTGGGTAAGTATTACTGGTAACAGTAGTTCAGGTTTTGGGAGAGATAAGGGTTTAGATGCCATATTCAGTCAATAAAGCCCTCAGAAGTATAATAACAAGCATGTTAATCAATAAGGCTTTCTAGCATTTGTGTGTTTACATGGGAATTATGTATCTCTGGACCCTGACATTTGTGAGCCGAGGTCTCGCAGCACAAAAAGTCAATTGGCCTTGAGACGATCCTCTGAGAGGCTAATTAAGCTTGCATACTGTGGCAGAGAAACAGGGCAATTGTTCCCTTCTCCAATTCCACAGACGGTCTGCTGTACCCTACAGCACATGACTCAGGAGAGGGGCAGAAGAAGGAAAGAGAGGGGATATTTATGTCAACATGTGTCATATGTTGACATAAATATATTTATGTCACCAGTTCATACACACCTCCTCAAAGCAGGAGCAAAGTACGATATGCAAACAGAGGAACAAGTACATGCAGTACACATGGTACAATGCTGTATATTTTTTTTTGTCATCTGATGTACAAATGCCCCTGCTAGTACACACACAGGCACACGCACACACCGACATCAAGCTACTTTGCAGCTTAACTAATGATGTCACAGATAAAATGTGTGTAGACCTTCAGTGTAGAAGGCCGTCAATTGATAGACGATGCATAGTGAGAAACTGAAAACACAATTATCACTTCTTCAGAGGGTTATGCTCTATTTCACACACTGACAACTACGTGCCTCTATAGGTTCGGGGTGGGGGGTACACGAGTAGGGGAGACAGTATGTGTCCATTATGAAAGCACATAAATAAACTGCCCACCTGCAGAGATGGTCCTTCCATCTGCAGCAGCAGGAGATAGCCACTAGTTTGGTCAACCGCAACACGTAAACAATCACCCCCACACACACGAATTCTGAATACAATAAAGGCAATCTGAAAAAAATGTGTGACGGACTTCTTTGCAGTACATTGTCAAATGATTTCTGAAAAAAATTTATAAATTCAGCAGCCCCTCTAAGCCATGCTCTCAAGGCCTATTTCAAACGTTTTCCTGTATCTCATTTGTGATGCATAAGATAACATTGATTTTTACAAGAGATCAGACCGTAGAATTTCTATATTGAACCAAATAAAAGCCTAAAATCAATCACACATGCTCCCTGTTAAGGCAGTAGTGTTGTGCTGATACACAACAACAAATATTTTACCAATGAAAAACTTTTTATCATTCAAGGTACATGTACAATAAATGGCAGAAATACCCACTGTGTCTAGGACAGATGGGAGTGAAAGTTACACTATTTGTTAAAAATATTAACCGCAGAATAAAAGAATGTTATTATTCATAAATTGAAGCAGGTGTGATCCCCATCCCCTAGTAATTATTCTGAAAATGTCTGACTGACATTTTGATGAATGACAGCGAGGGGAGAATGAGACTTCATAAGAGAAAGAGGAAAAACACTCACAAATTATTTATTTTTATAGTTTTTTGGCCTTTCTCCTAATGTATACACTGAAAACTGTTGCATGTTTACTTACTATTTGTGTATACTATACACTATGGGCCGGATTTACTAACATCCCGAATAAAGAGTACTAAAGGTTTTGCACCATGGAGAGTCAGGAGGGAAGAAAGCAGCCACTGCTTAAAAACCTTCTGGTTCATTCAGTGCCTCCCGAGTATGTGGAAATCGTATGTATTTTATTTCTACATATTGGATATAGAATAATATTATCTAATATTGTTAATATCTCTATGTTTTCTTTCATTACAGCTTTGTCTCCTTCTCGCAACGATAACAGCAGCCAACACTTGGCAGTTTGCACCTTCCTTTCAAACGTATTAAATACAGATGCTGTTGCACTCACATGAAATTGCTTTTACGCTTGTTAGATCACATTGCGTGTAGCAAATAAATGTATTTGCATGTTATCCTCCCATTACTTTGCACAATAAAACGTCCCCAAATTGCATATTTATTACAGCCAAAGTAGTACATGAACATCAGGTGCTATCTTGCACTTTTGAAAGACGTCATTCTGCATGCACACTGTTAGTAGATCAGCTCATGTGTTAATTTGCAGGTGATATCACGTTTGCACACGTTTTACTCACGCAAAAAGTAAATCTGGCCCTATGTGTATGTAATGTTCTACTCTTTCTTTCTCAGCTCTCTTGGTAATAGACCTGCTGTGGGATTTAACATGGCCAACTGTAATTGTAATTGAGAATTGGAGCTTACGTACCTTAAGAGACATGGTGATGATAGGCAGAAAGAGAGATCAGAATATTTAGCTTGAAAACATATATACTGAAGATATTTTACAAAGACCTCAGGGCACTGAGGAAGACCAGTGGTTCTCAACTCTTTCTGTCACATCCCCCTTCAAAAGCCAAAAAGTTCATGCGCCATACCCCAGAAAAAGTGGATTTAATTTTTATCAATCAACAATTTTTAACAATAATTAACAATTTCAAACAACGATGAAACTTCATATCAGCAGGAAATTCATAATCTTGTAGAGTGCCCAGAGAACAACCTACTGCTCAACGTCAGCAAAACTAAGGAGCTGATCATTGATTTTAGGAAGAAGGAGATAAAGACAAACACTCCTGTCTACATCAGTGGAGCTGAGGTGGAGCAAGTGAACAGTTTCAAGTTTCAAGAAGGCCAAATTCCCGTCCCAAGTTCTTGTCAGTTTTTACAGACGAGCAATAGAAAGCATCCTGACTGGAAACATCACAAACTGGCATGGGATGTGTACAGCCCAGGACCAGTTTATTTCTGTTACCATTTTTATAATTGATTCTTTATTAATGAATATTGTCTGCTATATAGCAAAACTCAATTTCACTCTTTAACTTGTTATATTATGACAATAAACCTTCCTACCTACGTACCTAACAATACAGGTGATTGAAATAAACAAGATTCAGGTTAGAAAAATAGCTAAATAGCTAAAGTAGACTCAGGATTGCAGGTTTGCATTGATGAGAAACAAAGCTGCGGATTTCCTGCCTGACAACATATTGGACCAATTACCATGGCTATTCCAACGAGGTGGCTGCAGGCTCATAGCCAGGGAGCGAGAAAGGGAGAGACGGAGAGAGAGTATGTGTGAGAGTATGTTTGTGTTCTCTTAACTTGTGGGTCTCACCATGCCACAGGCCACAAAGTCTGGAGCATTCTCTCAACTAAACAGACAGCTCTGTGGGCAACTGCCAAAAATGTCAAAAGAAGGGATGTGCAGCATGTATGAAAAAGAGGGATACGAGGAGGCATGGAGGGAATAGACGTGGCAAAGTACAAAAAAAAAATACAGAAGTAGGGCTGAGGGCGCAATGGAGACAAACAGGTGTACGAAAGTGCAGAAGCTTGTCAGGAAAGAGGGTTAGTGGAAAAAATCTGCATTTGACTGTGGGGATTGAGTGTATAGAGGGGGAAAGAGCCATTTTCTTGCTAACATATTTCTATAAATAGGATTTGTTGACAGGCCAGATCCTCCAGCCTGAAACTGCGAGTACCTGACTGACCTTAGAGTGACGGCCACTATGGAAACAGTCCTGATGTGGCCACAGGAGGAAAACACAGTCACTGATGTCATAGGAGTCTGCCATCAGGCACAAACTAATGTCTATCAGGTGAAGGTCATTTGTCTTTCCCCATGTCCCTAATTTTTGGCTCAAAGGACAACCAAATTGCTAATCAACAAAAAACAAACAAACATGGTACTTTATGTTAATGTTCCTGACTAGCCTCACTCACACACACACACACATACACACACACGGCACTGCTGACTGGGACGGGACAAAAGAAACAAAATGTCAGGCGGGCAGACAGGATCTTTGGTTTGCCAAGCAAATTGCTTTTTTTAAATAATAGAGCTCAAAGCTTTTATCTAACTGAAAACGAGCCTTTGGAAATCTACTGCTTTTTCAGACGTATTTGGGGTTCATACTGTGTGTCTGCAGTGTATCCCAGTGTGTTGAGGTGAGATTGATTTGTCTACTACAGTTTCCAAGGTCAAGAATTAACTATTGGGATCTGGGTTTTGCCCAGTTTTTTTGAAAGGGCCTGTGATTGTAGTTTTCTCATTTAATAAAGTTGCTGCACACAAAAACACACAATTTCAATACACACTACAGATACACACTGTACATATCTATAGTGGAGTATCTGCAAAAACAGGGGAAGGAGTTTCCAAGACAGCCGACAACAGTCTGAACTCAAGGACCACTCATTAGCTTTTTTAGGTGCTTTCAACTGTATTACATGGTCTTTATCAGCAGATAAGCGTTTGGCTAAAAATAAGTACATGAATGAATGAACTTTAATGCCAACACGAACAAGACGTCCTAAAAGTGCTGCAGATGAGGTAACAATAGCGATTTAGCTCACATGTCAACAGATCCATCTCCACGACAACTATTCACATTCCATGGCAATCAAGACCCCAGAAAAAGATGCGTTTTTTGTCAGACAACTATTTCCAAGGTCAAGAATGAACCTCAAATAAAACACTTTTTTGTATTCTTGGTTTTTACATCCATGAGCCATAAATGACCATATAATACACTGGGGGGGTGTTTATGTGTATTTCATGTTTTGTAAGATTTTGTAAGATGTACTGTGAAGTGTATGAAACCTGTGACCCAAGTAGTCATTCATTCTCATTGTGTCATTGTGTTACAAATGAATGGAATAGATCCCTGGGGGTCCCCGGACCCCCCCTTTGAGAACCTCTGTCCTAAAGGGAGCGTGAGAGAGCAATTTTGTTGCAACCCTCACCACTAGATGGCACTAAAACCTACACATGGAACCTTTAACCTGAATTCACACTAACCGGTGGGGACTCGTTTCACCCTGGGGACAAAAATTGATGTTCAGGTTAGAATTAGGTTAAGGTTAAGGCTCGTGCAGACTAAACGACATTCAGCATCGGCCGATGGCCGTGCAGTTCACACTACACAACTTGTCGTCTTGTGAGGGGAGTCTGAAATCGTTGTGACGTGACTGATCGGTCACTACGTGAGCTGAAAACAACTCTGTCACCCGTACGTTGGTCTCCAAACCACGTTTTGTCAAGAAAACACACGTGAACTGTGAAACGGGAAATGACGCAAACCTACACACGAAACAGTTTATAAAGACAAAAAATATGGGTGAAAGAACAGATTAGCACACTCAGGTAGCAGGGATTGTCTGAGCTACAGAGAGAGCTGGAGGTGAGTAAAAAGTGTTTTGCAGTGAAAAAGTAGCTGCCTTCTCTCATTGGCAGGATGTGGATGTCGAGTCGGCCGACTCTTCCAGATATTTGGCGTGCTAGATATCTGGCTGGTGTCTGCGATGTGTCTGAAATGTGTCAGGGAGCCGTTTTGATGCGTCATTGTGTAGTTCACACATAACGACTGGCGACCGCCAATCGACCGCTGATTTACCCCCGATCACAGCCTGACGGTCGAGAGAGAGAAAGAGAGAGAGAGACTCACTGCTGCCTGTTGTCTCTTCAGCTTGTCTCTGTACTCCTCCAGCTCCTGCAGGTTCAGCTCAGCTGGGAGTTTCTATAATCAAGCACACAGACACAAACATACAACCTTATTGTTTGCTCACAATACAACCTCCTACACAAGACGTTTGCAGACACATCCACAAACAAAGTCTGTAAGCCCCTTGCAGACTTTGCATGCTGCATGCTGCTTCAAAATGTATCTACTCTTCAGTGTAGTCAAAGTTGCTACTGGGTGTGTGTCAGACAGAAAAATATTCACAAAAGGACTATGCCAGTATCGAAGTTCTGGCGCTCATGGCCATAGCAGGGATTTAATTTATCTTGAGAGAGCTAATCTTCACTCCTGAGCATCTTAATTTTTGAAAGATATCCAAGGCATTTCAAAAAACTTAAGCTGGTTTAACTGGTGCGACTGAAGATAGCTGCAGTTTTTCCTCCATTAAGAAAACAACAAAAAAAGAATTTGCTCAATAAATAGACTTTGCCAGATCATAAGTCAGATTAGTCAAGAAGGTAGAGGATGTTATTTAGTAAACAGCAAACAATCTCTGCTCTGGAAAAAAATATATTACAAATCCATGGCCCAAAGGATGATAGGTAATTACTTTCCCCTTGACTGAGAGTCTCATTTCATGATGGTGTAGCAATACTAAGATAAATCTAATGAGATTTCACACCCTTCCTCTGTTGAGCGGATGCAAACCATCAATCCAGACGTCACTGCTACGCATGCAGCTCAGCAGAAGTGTAAGAGACAGCAGCTCAGGTGAGAATGAGCTTTAACTCTGCCAGTCACAGGAGGTTCAAAGTAGGAGGGAACCACATTTACTCACATTATAAATGCGTTGGAACCTGGGGAGCAAGTCTCTTGTCATCATTTTACAAGTGACAACTCATTCAGTCAATAACGCAATCATACAGAGAGTTTCTGACCTCCAGTTCGTGCTGCACCATGTCGAAGGAGTCGTTAGAGAAGTAGACCTCCTCGATGCTCTCGATGATCTCCTGCTCCGCCTGGGGGTCAATGGGCTGCTCCCTCAGCTCCCGCAACTCCTCCTGAAAGAGAGAGACAGCAACAAAGAGAGACAGAGTAAAAACATGTCCTTGAAGTAGCCACTTTAGAAAGTTTCCAACAAACTGGGGCAAAAGTTCAAAACAGAAAATTACATCATTGCCCAACTAATGAAAACAACAACAACAAAATCTCTCATATAAACGTCAAGAAAAATACATTAAAACAGAGAAAGAGAGATGAGAGGGTGAATAGGGAGGATGGCAGGGGAAAGAACCATACAGGGAGGAGAGATTTAAGGACAAGGGTATGGGTGAAGGAAAAGTGAGAGAGAAAAAATAAAAATGGAGGTGGAGAACAAGAGGCAAGGGCAGGGAAGGAGGAGGTGCGTAGTGGGAAAAAAGATGAAAACATGAATCACGGAGTTTGGGAGAGGATTGCAGCTTATTTCGCTGGACAGCTGTCATGGGGGATGGCAGGCAGCCTTGAGAGGAAAGACAAGAAGAAAGGAATGACCGAAAAAAATACAACGGAGATTCCCCTTCAGAGCATCTCCGAAAAACATCAGAGCCCTATTGATTAACATGCCGTCAAAGCTTACTGGTGCAGCAAGTCTTTTAGATGAAGGGTTTTAAACAGACATTCTTAATGAGCCGAGATATAATCACAAGTCAATAACAAAGTGGTGGGATGACCCTATTAGCAATTTACAACAAGAAAAAGTTGCTGGACAATAAATTAAAGTACAACAAGGCTGTGTCCAGAATCACTCCCAATTTACTATATAGCACTGCATTTACCCACTGCCATATTATTTGAGTTGACAATGGAACGTATAAAGCAGTGTCCATGGCATGCACACTACTTTCTGCAAACAATCCCACAATGCTATGCATTACAATTTATAAATGCGAACATTATTGTTCAGTGATGACACTAAATGATGATGTCTCTTAAGTCTCCAACATCTAAATTTAGTGCTCATTAGAGTCTACAGCCATGCTAGCAGCTCTTTGAGGCTGTACTTAAGTACAGCCATCGGGTCAAATGCTAACATCAGCATGCTAACATGCTGATATCAAGCAGGTATAGTGTTTACCATGTTAGTTACCGTATTAGTTTAGCATGTTAGCATGCTAACATTTGCAATTAACACTAAACAGAAAGTACAGCTGAGGCTGTCATCAGTTTTGCACGTATTTAGTCATAAACCAAAGTATTGGATAAATTGAAATTTTGACCTCATGTTGGAGCTAAATTAAAAATAAGGAGTTGTGAAGGTTATTCAAATTCATCCTGAGGGTAACATGATTGTGTGTACCAAATTAAATAGCAATCCAGCCAATATTTGTTGAGACATTTAACTACCGGCCAACTGACCTCATTCCTTCACTTATGTCACCAACACAGCTAAAAATCCTAAATATAGCTATCACACCCCAATGTTACATCCCATATAAAGAAAACATCTCAAGCTAAATGGCTTCACTTTATGCCCCGAGTGGAAATCCTTTACTTAAGGTAATGCTGAGTCTAACAACTTGATTGTGTGGAATCAATACACTGAGGCATCAGCAAAATTAAAGCCTGATAGCACAAAAAACAGACTGCAGGCTTGGGAAGGAGGTGAACCAGGATGCATGTGGAATTATGGGATAAATGCAATCTATATGGCCCTACAGTATATCCATCCGCACTCTATTAAATAAAAGTAGCCTATAGAAATCTCTATTAGAGATCTACATACATCAACTCAAATAGACTTCATGAGACAGCCAACACTGATCAAGAAAACCTTTTACACACCTGCCTAACCACAAATATTTTCCCAGCTACTATCAGCAAGGAGCGCTCAGCAAGGCGATGAAGTGTGCCACCCATGTAACTGAATCAGCTTCTGTGGGCGAGAGTGTGTCTTGCTGAGTGACATTTATAAGAGGCAACACTTCGGTGAGTAAATGTAATGTCCACAGTCAAATACAACCTCATTTAATTCAATTACACAAACAGAATCCCTTTGATATACCATATATAAATGTTATAGAAGGTAATTGGGATGATGGAAAGAAGGAATTAAAATTTGTGCATGTGCCTGTGAGTGTGCGCGTGTGTGCGTGTGTGTGGTCACGTTTGAATCTGGCAAAGGAGTGAGGGAAATGCGTGGGTGAGTGCGTGAGATTGGAAAGGAGGGATGCAGGTAGGAGATCACACTCTGCCGTGAAAAGGGTGGGTGGGAAATCAGCTTAAATGAGAGGGAAAGCGAAAAGGGGAGGGGGGGGATGACTCATTGGTAGCGAAAGTTAGAGCTGATGCGTCTCTCTTGTGATGCCACTCCAGTATAGTTAGACCAATTCACCTCCTCTGTCATTGTCTCTCTCTTTTCCCTCTCTCTGCCTCAGTCTCCCATCCGCAGCGAGGGGAAGTGAATGACTCATTGAGAATAAGAGGCTACCTCAGGTTAAATAATTCCCTCCCACCCCTGCGGCAGCATAGGCCCAGAACAAAACAAGACACCCCCTTACCCCACACGTGAAACCCAACATCAGCCGCTGTGAGGCTTTGATCAAATTTCACTTTGAAGGATGAGGGACAAACAAACCACCGATCATCCCCCTCCGCAAATTAATGAAATCCTCACCTCGTTGCGGAAATTAGAAATCTATTTGCATCCAAAGTGCGGGACGTTTAACAAGCGGTATCAGAGAATCAAAGTGGATATTCGACTGGAGTGCTGATTGAATGTGGAAAAGGCGCAGAACAAAACAGTGCTCAACAACACGGGGGCCCTGATAAAACAGGAGACTGAATAAACAACAGGAGGTTTGTGGAAAATCCTGCGGGACATTACCGGGGAGAAAGACAGCGCGCTGAGGAGAATGAGAGGAGGGCCATTTATTTCCACTATGGAATCATTCATCAGCTGAACAAATCAAAACCTCCTCACTGTAATCAGTGCTGAATATTTACCTGAGCCTAACCTGCCTACAGGTCCTCATCTGCTCTTAAACAGTGGCCTTCTGGGACATTAGGACACAATCCACAGCCAGCAGCGGTATCCAGGCTGCAATACGGGATGCTGTGCTTCTGGGTTAACAGGCAATACTGTTGAATTTTTACTTGGAAGTAAGTGATTATTTTTCCTCAATTCCCCGCTGTCTATCACCGAGCCAAAAGCGAGAGTGCTCTGTATCTTTGGTGTCATGCCGCTGTTCTGTTATAAAGTGCACAGGCAGGCTTGTGGAAGCTTAATCAGATATTAGCTAAATGTCAGAACCAAACCGGATTGGGTCACCAAAGGCCATAACACATGTGAACTGTCAAAGTGAGCTGTGTTCTCCCTCAAGATAGCCTATGTGAACTAATGACAGGTTTTCAAACATGCCCTCCTCACAGCTTTATCCCCAGTCTTCAGAGAATACATATTGCAAACTGGAGGTAACCATATTCATCCTAAGATTTTAGGAAATTATGCTACGCCAATAATAATATTGAGCAGTCACTGAAATCAGCCCATATAAATGAATGTTTTTTTGGGTGAACAGAGTTCTTTAACTGAGCAGATAAAATGTGTAATGGGTAAATTGAGGGTGACCCCTGCTGGTGGGAAAGGCTAACTGCATTAAACCTTGAGCACTAACAGAAGGGTTACAAGAGAGCTACTGTTTGCCTCAGGGAAACTGATGCCTCCAGGAAAAACCAACTCTTCCAAATATTTCCATTGAGTTAAAGTTACATAAAAAAAAAAATACTCACCATCACACAGCTATCCTGTACCAGCTTGTTCCAGAGCTTCACTAAACCTTTGTCACACTTACATTTATGGCTGTAACTAACAATTAATTTCATTATCAGTTAGGCTGCCTATTATTTTTTAGATTCATTGTTTAGATGACAAAATGTCAGAAATTAGTGAAGAAATTCAGAGGACATCTTAAAATTGCCTGCTTATTTTGACCAAAACTCCAAAAACCAACCCCATTTACAATGATGAAACAAAGAATGGCAGTCAATTCTCGCATTTGAGTAGATGGAACAAGCAAATGCTTAACATTTCTGTTTGAAAAATGACTGAAACTACTTGCTACCTCAACCAGCTTTATATTTATACTTATATTATTTATACTTATATTTGTGAAATAATCAGGTCCAAGAAGTCATTTTTGCTGCTTTCCTATATCAGTTGGAAAATAGTGGATATCTTGCGCCTCAGATTATATAGTGTAGAGTTCACTGGAAGTCAGTATAACATATCTTACATCTAGAATGTAAAGTCTGGTTGATTCGGGCACTGCTTTACCACACTATATGAGATTGTAATGACGGAAACCATCAAAGCCTCTGTTAGATTGAGGAGGTTAAGAGATATAAAGCATCACAACACCTATAAAGTAAATCCTTAAAACTGACTCGCAGAGGGACAACAGCTTTGAACAAAAAGGATTGGAAAGCGGGGAAAAAAGGTTTGTTTGTTTGTTTGTTTGTAGTGTGAACCCACAAAGCAGCTTATACCATCTCAGGGACCCAGAGAGATTCACAAAAGGAACAAACACATCAAACATATCAAAAATAGCTTGGGGCCATTTGGAGTAATTTAAATTAAAAAAAAATGTGTTTTTTTATCTGCCAAGGTTTGGGTTTATTTAAAGGTTTTGGTGCAAATCAGGTTTTGTTTGACCCTTAAAATGAAAATGAGTTGATCTTTTTCTATCATTCCCTAAAGTTGAATGCCATAGAAGTTTCATCATAATCTTTGAAATCATCTCTCTTTGAAGTCTTGAATAAGGTCAAACGTTTATTAAATTTTGGTTCTTGGCTCATTGTCCAGATTTACTTGTGAATTTGTAGAGGGCATTAGGCACACAGCAGCAGGTGAATGGGGGGGAGAAAGGTTCCCCCTGAGGCTAAATTGCTGCTATCGCCAAGAAAATCAAATGTTCCACTTCAGCCCCATAGACTGTATGAAAGCTTCAGGCACTATGTAGAGTAACACTACGTAATAGCAGCCATGTTGTAAATTTGCACCAGTCATATAAAGTTAGTTAATTTCTGTAATCACCAAGTAGATTTATTAAAATTACTATTAAGACTAGATAACGGCCTGTCAAAGATTAGACAGATGTCTTAACAAACCAGCACAAACTAAACTACTTCAAAAGGGTAGTAGTAGGGCTGGGCAATAAAACAATGATAATTTGTTAGTTTTATTTGTTTAGTTTTGAAAAAAGATTTTATCATAATTGTTTTGAATGTTCTATCTCACATTTGTGAAATGATCCACTGTTTGGCATGAAGTGTTTCTCATGTTCTGATCATAAACACTAGATTAACCACGCAATTAACCATCTGGCACTTCAATTTTCATACGGGGGTAAAAATTTGCCTTTAAACTTGACAGAAATAATGATTGACATTTATTGTGATAATTATCGATATCGAATGATATGAAAATTTTTATCGTGATAACGTTTTTGGCCATATCGCCCAGCCCTAAGCAAAAGTTGCAGAAAATATCAGTCGGCACTTCCTGATAATGACTACAGCAAGTCTGTAGTCTGAAGTCACAAGTAGAGCGGAAATTATTCATAAATTAATCGAATCAAATTTATCAATTTAATAACTTCTCAAATCTGAGTATTTGTCGCTTTTCTTTATCTTAAGGAATAGTATATTGAACATTTACAAGTCTTGGGTAGTTTGTCTGTCAAAACACCACATTTTAAAGACATCACCTTGGGCTCTGAGACATTATGACAGTATATGGGCCAAAGAGAAAAGAATCAACAAATCATTAGTTGCAGTCCCAGTCACAAGGACTTAAGAGGACAAACAATTAGTTAATCATAGGGCTGGGCAATATGGCCAAAAATGTTATCACAATAAAAAAAATTCCTATCAGTCGATATCGATAAATATCATGATAAATGTCAAATCATTATTTCTTTCAAGTTTAAAGGCTGATTTTTGTCCTTGAGCAAAAGAAAGTAGATACTCAATTGTGGTTTTAAACTTCGCTAAACAGTGGACCATTTCACAAATCTGAGGCAGAACATTCGAAACAATTATGATTAAATCTTTTTTCAACAAATATGCATGAATAAAACTAAATAAAATGTTTTTTATGTCCTTTTTTCCCCCTCAACATAATAAATATCTTAATAGAAATGAAGCACTGATTCGTTCGTGATTCAAATTAACTACATTTATTAAACATTTGTTATATGTTTATGTAGGAAAATTATAACGCAATAAGAATTGTTATAGTTTTATCACCCTCGTTAATCGTTAGTCACTATTAAACTCTGAGATCATATTCCTACAGTTATTTTCTGATGAAGTTTTGTCAGGAAGTACAACTTTCTGTCTACTACAGTACGATTTTAGGAAGTCAGTGATTTTCCTACTTTTTCCAGAAGAATTTTGACAACCACCAGAGAAGTGTGTTGATGTGAACTTCTCAACACATGTTCATACACTAAAATATTCATAAATTCATAAAGAGTACAGTCTAGGACTACTCTATATAAAAGTATTACAGAAATCTAAAGAAGTCTGTGTGCTTTCTTCAGCACATAACATGTCACATGGCCGTGTAACTAACAAACATTTTTATTATTGATTCAATTGATTGTTTGGTCAATAGAAAAAGTGAATAAGGCCCATTTCACAGTTTCCAGAGATCACGGTGACATTGTGAAATTGACTGTTTTGGCAGACAAACAGTCTAAAACCGGAAGATATTCCATTTAACAATCATATGAAAGAGTGAAAAGCAGTTAAATCTAACAATTAGGAAGCAAGAAGCAGAAAACAGTCTGAATTGTTTTGATAAATTACTTAAATAATTACTCGTTCATCAAAATTGTTTCTGCCAATCAAAAAATCGATTCACTGCTTCAGGTCTAAAGGTTGTCTATTACAGTCACTCCTCCTTTCCAGCTGTTTCTGTTTTCCCTGCTTATGACTCAAACACCATCAACCCCCCCCCCCCCCCCCCCCCCCGATGACAGTGAGCCAGATGTTGCTGTCAACTCCTGCAGGATGATAAATGATTGTGGCTTAACTGGTTGGAAACACATAAACGGTTCCAAGCAGTGAGTACCCGATTAATAATCAGTTCATAATAACACACACACACGCAATGCAGTCCAGCACCTTGGTCTCACTCTCGTGCACAAAGCACAAAGAAAAGTGTGTTAAGTAATTCAGTGTTCCCCACAGTGGCAGCGGTCACAGCGTACTGAGAGGATTGTTCACCTTTATTCAAAACAGAACACAGGTTTCGGTGTATACAAAGCCGGGCCCGTGTGGGTCCTATTTCATTTTCCTGAAAGCAGCAAGGCCCCGCAGCAAAGTAAATAAAGTCAACGCACAATATCATCAAATAATAAGCCCTGTGTTTTTGTTAAACACACAAAAGGCAGGTGTTTGCAGTACACGATGGGGACGTAATTCATCTGTGACATAGAGAAGTAGGCCAAGGTGCTTACAAGCCAGACCTCACATCCATACTAACTCTCTGCCAATTTATTCAATCTATACTATGGTGCCTCATGTCACATAAGCCGAACACAGAAGGTGTTAGCAAGATTTACAGTCATTCTTTGGGCCATGATTCTTCTTACATTCTTTCCAGCATGAAAAAAGGTGAAGGTTTCAGGCCTAAAACCAGGGTGTGTGATGTCTGCATATCCAGTTTGGCCACATCACCCGATACCAATCCTCAAGCCATCAGAAAGAGGAGGGGGGCATGTGTCCTATGAAAATAAACAATTCTTTCTTGAGATACTCCCCTCTGCTTTCATTCACGCTCTAAGTATACCTGGAGACTAAATGACTGCTTATCTAATCTAAGCTTGATCCATGTCACTGGGTGGGTTTGTGCAATAACAGGTCCAGCAACAGAACTGTAATATTGTCCACAAAGCATTACGTCAAGATGATACAATGATCTCAAATTATTGGATTAATAAATAATAACTGTCACCCATCATGAGCCTGAATTTGCTGCATTGTGACAATAATACCAAGCACCAGCCTGATCTTGATAAATAATAAAATCATTGTGGATGAGCCCCTCAACAGAGACAGCCTGTGTTTATCACACGCTGCTCCGTCTTTTTCTTTTTCTCATGACAACAGGCAAATTCTCTCAGCCTTATCTTTCGCAACTCTCACAGATGACAAAAGAAAAAGCACTTCCTTCTAGTCTCATCTTCTGCAGTACTTTTTCAACCTCGGCAACAAATAGCCTACTCAAACGGTACATCAGCAAAGCGCCCCATGAAGAAAAACATTAAGGCCAAACTGGGGTAACAATCAAAACAATGTCAACCATTAAAGTCCAAGTCTTTAGAAGCACATAAATTAAACATCTGGCTGAAATCACCAGGCGCAGCGGATAAATAGTGTTGGTCACCTTCCAAATTGTAGCCGCATTAATAGAAGGTCATCACCACAAGTCAAAGTCAAAGCGAAGCCAGCAACAAGCAGTGCATTGAGGTGAGAGTAAGTGACTATACATCGTATAGAGCCACTTCACTCTGTCTAATCTTGACAAATTGAATTTGTACATGGGGATAATGACAAATTCTTCCTGTGACTAAGCATGACTGATTGCATTTTCAAACGCTGCCACACCAAAATGCTAAAACACCATTACAGCAGACCACATTTCACACCCCCGCTGTTGGGATTGAAGTGAAGTCCGTCCTTAAGTGATATAAATGGGAGCCTTCGGTCTCTTTACACTACTGTCTAGAAAAGTGTGTGTGTGTAACTAATGTCATGCACAGGAAGCAGTTCTGTGTGTAATACAATGCATGGTGGGCAAACGCTTATCTGACACAAAATATGCAAGAGGTCGGGTTCAAAACAAAAACCAGGCCGATACAATCAACCAGGTTACTGCTATCATTATTACTGCTTCTGAGTTTGATTGAACTTGGCTTCTTTAGATTATAGGCATAGTCAAGATGCCCAAAATAGTTTATACAACTAAAGTGCAGCGCATAAGATGCACATAAATGCACAATTATAAACGTGCAGATTTTGTTGATTTTCACCATGTCTTGAAAAGAATGATAGAATATCAACTGTCAACAAAGCTGTTAAAGGAAGCATTTAACTACTCAGACCTTACTACACATAAAAACAGTAACATAGGACAGGTAGCTATCTATTGTTTACTACTTGAACCCATCTTTAACTGTGTATTTTTATTGCAATAAGGGTGCTGATTTTTATAGGATATGCTTCAATCACAACAACAGAAGTTTACCTTGCTCGGGATCCTCAGGTTCTCCACAGGACTGAGGTCTGCCATGCTTTCTTGGGGGCTTTTCAGGCCCTGTCAAAATAAGACTCACCGTTAGACTTCAAAAGCCACCAAAAAGTCAAGTAACTTTATCGTTTTGTTTTCAGCTGTACACGTTGTCACAAAGCTTGCTATTCTTCCGCACACTACAGCATGCAGCAAAAAGTGGAACCGGCAGACAGATTTCAGAAAGCGATATGCTCTGTTGTGTCCACTGGTGAATTAATGAATCTAACATTACTGCCGTGCAAACTGAGAACTTCCCTAACCGCCCAGTGTCCGGTGTTGTGCGCTGTTGTTGTGCTTGTCTAATGGTAAACTCTTACAAATGGGGCATCGGCATGACTCCCCATACACGTGTATTTTCTTCATGTGAGGTAAATAGCCGGTAGCTGTGATGCGGCCGTAAAAACAGCTGCTGTTAGTCGGGCTGAATGAACGATGAGCTGTCAAATTAGCCAGTAAGCTTAGCTAGCTGTCATGCTAACTTTAGCTGCTGTGAGAGACAAACAGCCAGCAGCTTAGTTCTGTACTCCTGCTATGCTCACCTGCCGGGCCATAAGAGACTTAATCTTCTGCATCGTGGAGCTAACTTCTGTCAGCGGACAAATTCGTGAGTAATGTTAACAGTTTTGTTTTGTTGTCAACGATGCGCCTCCATCACTACGAGAGGGAAGCCATAGTTGACCGTCACATGACTGTTACGGCAAGAACAGGAAACCTCGCAAAGCATCCTGGGAAAGGTAGTTTTTATTAGGAGGTGTGATGGTGACCCTAACTGACAATTCTAAAAACTGAAAATATTTCGATTCAATTAAAAATACATGTTGTTCTAAAAATTAAATATTAAAAATTGTATTAAAAAGTGGTGTTCCCCAATAACACTGTGATATATGTGCTTCTGTCTTACACCACTGGATGGTAGTCATTTCACATCACCAAATAGAAATAGAATAGAAAATTAGACAGCAATGACTATTTTGTCTCTCTGAAAATTGTTACTCTACTCAAGTGACACATTTTGACATTGTCACAGTACAAAAAGCACAACAACTACAACATTAAAAATACTGCATCAATAATGATCATCCCGTAGTATAATATAATGTATGCAATGACTTAGGCCTAACATTGACATTGTTCTGCATTATCAGTATTTTAACTTTTTGAGAAGTTTATTGTTCTGAATGCATTTTTACACTGTGGCATTGTTATAATCTAAGTAAAGGATATGAGTACTTCTTTCACCACTGTCTGTAATGTATATATGACACTTTTGTTGTATGTTGTGTACATACTGTAAATACATACATTGCCCCTCCATCATTTTGCACTTTAGTGGGGCACCTTTTGTGGGATCATATAGTTGGAGTCTCACCCTGTTGCGTGGTCACTTTACTGCACTAAATAGCACTTTAATACAATTAATTTGCACTTAATTCCATAAACAGCCCTTAACTGCATAAACTGCACTTTACATAACCCTTGTGTCGTGGTGTATTTTATATTATCTTTTATTGTATATTTCATTTATTGTTTAATTGTGTTTTTTGTATTTTTGTACCTTGAGACGACCTGCCGGAGACAGATGGAAAATAGCCTTCTGGCTAATTCTGGCATATTTACAATGCTAAAAAGCAAATATGTTCATTAATATGCACTGTCCCTTTTAAATAAGTACAATAATTAAATACATATAATTTGGTCTCAAACAGGTTAAGGTTAACAATATATAACTATGTGTTAATATATTTTGTGTGTGGCTGCATTATTTGGCGAACGGCATTTACTTTTGTGTGCATGAGATGTCATCACGTATTGCCATCCACAGCTCAGTGCCATGTAGCTCCATCTCTGCCAAGCAATTAGACCTGGCTCTGCATTGTGAACTGTTTAAAAATAATTACAAAAACAGTGCATGCAGACCCATTCAGCCTGCTTTGTAACTGCCCCTTTGGGTGTTATTTTGAGCAGTGCTTGGTTAAAAGCAAGCAGCATGCAGGAGACAGCAGGCACTGTGAGCTTTAGTTCCTGGTTAATGATGCCCCAGGCTATTTCCCAGTCAAATGAAGGTGAGGTTGATCTCCTTAGGTGAATTTTCTCTACTGTTGTTCTTTAGGCAGTCATCCACAGTGCGGCACCTCCCATAAAGTATACACTGAGACAGAACAGATGGCAACCCCTACCCGGAGATGCCACCACAAAGACATAGCACACTCAGTCGGTCAGTTCATGAGCTATAATTAGAGTTAGATTCAGTAAAGTGCTTGTTGTTATGCAGGACAGCATCATGATAATCAGCACTTTATGACTCAGTATGAGGTTCAGAACTTGACAATTTATTATCCTCAAAAACATACTAGCACAATAATTTGTTTTGGTGGCGCAGCACTATTGTAAAATAATCATTCCCACCGTAGTGTAATTTATTTGTGAAAACCCTTCAAACTCATCAACTTTCTTTGGAAACAATGCAATTATCATTTCAAATGTTTAAATTTTCAGAGTTAAAAAGTTTCAATACTAGGTCAACTAGCTTGAATTTGAATTTGGACATTTTTTGTTCAACAACATTTGAGATGAATTTAAATGGAAACACTCAGCACAGGCGTGATAATGGAGACAACACAATGTTTTGATTATATTCTGAATCATAGCACAAAGCAGACTGCTGCCTTTAAGTGATATGTTGTCATTACAGATACAATTTTGACCTCTATTTTCTTAACAAAACATTTTTTGTCCCTGGTTCTCTCCACACTCTTCTGTATCGCTTTCCTCTTTATTCCTCTACCCCTTCTCTCTTTCACACACACACACACACACACACACACACACACACATTTTTATCTACTCGTGACAAGGTGTCAGCAGGAGCAGGTGGAGGGCACTCTGCCACATGCTGAACCATCCGTCTGTTGCTGCCTGTCTCCACATCAAGCCAGGTACACAGCATACTAATACAACGAGGCGGAGAGAAACAAGCTCTCTGCAGCAATTTTAAGACAACAAATACAACTCAAACACTTGTGAGTAGCAAGATCACAGCCAAGACATGAGACAAAGACTGACTGTGAAGCAGTTGAGCAACTGACATCTTTGCTGGCTTCAGCTATTTAGTTTTTTCCCCAGGATCTGTGGTTGTTCATTTCAAGCCCTGACCACTACTGCCATTCTATGAAAGAAGAACAAATATAAATTCAGATATAGAAGAATGAAGCACACTGTCTTCGTCCAGTTGTAGGCAACAAACACTTATTTTAAAATGAAATAGTAAACAGTTATATCTTTAATAAAAGTACAAAACAACATGTGAATGCCAACTGTACAATAATTTATGAATCATTCATCATTTTCCTTATTTCAGCATTTTATTCATATATATATATATATGAATGAAATGATATATATATAGAGAGAGAGAGAGAGAGAGAGAGAGCATATGTTGGGGAAACAGGTTTAAGTGTTTCTATAGGAATAAATAGAGCAAAACATAGAAATAGATTAAGTATAAAGAATCTGCATTATAATCCATGTACAATATTTACACTTATATATATTTCATACAAGAAATCAATTCATTATAACACTATTCTCACAAAAACAGACTCTCTTTGCCAGGAATGTATTATTGAAATGAAAATAAAAAAAAACCTTGGTTTTTAAAATTAAAATATATTTTAAATAGCCTAATCAAGGTTGGGTAGGTAAGAATTTCAAAAACTTTTACCTACCCAAAATGGTTTCTTCTAATTTGCTTGGTTTAATATGAAGATCCCATTGATCTTCAGTTTTTAACGGAAAAGGCCAAACAGTTTAAACTTCAGTTACACATTAAAAAACACATACACTTTCATCTCACGATAATTATAACAAAAGACATTTTAACATCTGTCCCATTCTCTGGACAATAACAGTGCACGATCAGGTTGTGTACTCACACAATTCTCCTTCATCCCCTGTGCAAAAAGTGGGCCACCAAAGCCAGTGTTTCAGGGCCTTAAGAGAATAAAGCTACACAGGAGTCTTCAAGTGAAATGACTGTGAGTTATGTTTCAACTCTCAAGCTCGACTTTACTTAAGCAAACTGTGACTTGGGGTTTCAGGAACATGTCTGATCACATCGTAGATGGTGGTGTGCATATCCTGAACTGACTCCAGACGAGCCAGAGATCTGCATGATGCCTGCAGGACAGTTTCATGTGAAAATTAAAACTACACCCAAACTTTTCAACAGACAAAAGCTTGAAATTCTTGCTGTGTTATCACCAAATGCCATTTGAATGTACAACATGTTAAATACCTGTGCAGATTCCATTTTCCCAGGTATGGAGACAAACTCGTAGATGCCAAAGTCTTCTGTTGCGTCCTCGTGACCTTATTGATGCATAGGTTTTAATATCAGACCAACACTTAGGTTACAGCGAGTGCATTGCTATTGCTATCTGAATAAAACTTTACTGTAACATGATAAACATAAATATGCCATTTAAACTAAGACCTGCTTTTCAGTCAGAATATATGACATTCTGACTCTGTTTACTTTTCAGCTTTAGGCTCATCTTATCTCAAGCCTGTTTGTTAGGAACGACACTTTAATCACTTTAATGGAAAACCAATTCCCTGTTCATCCAGATAATCAACTCAAAAAGATGATGTAACATACTGTATGTGTAAACGTGATGTAAGGCATACTCTACAATGTGGGTTTCTTTCATGGCTGCAGTGTTTGACAGTATAAGCAGGTCAATGCGTCTGTTAACAAGCAGTAGCTTACCTGAACGATGTGGTCGTTTCTGCTCTGAAAGTGGTCTGCCAAGAACAGGCAAATAAAGCTGTTAGCAGAAGCACATACACTATGTATACAAAAAACCCTAAGGTCAATGTCTGTATTAATTTCATATTCAAGGCTCTTACCTGTTGTAAATGCTCATAAGCACTGTTGGAGACCAAGAGACAGAGGGAAATAATTATTGACAAATACAGAAATTCTAAATCTTACCATGACTGATTTAAATGCAGTAGTGACTTTGCCTTGGTTACCTTCAGTCTGACTGACATTTGCAAGCTATTTACATTTATGACTAACTTCAACATGGAAGAGATCTCATGCAGTGAGCCGTTAGTGTTATGCCTAACCGTAGAACTGCGGATCATACATTATCCTTTGTCATGTTCCCATAATGTTCCATGTAAATCTGAGGAACGTTGGAATGACTTCTTCAGCATTCAGGCATGCAGATATCAAACATGGAACATGTTAAACGGGTTACAGGACTGACTGTGAGGGTTAATAAAAAATGCTGTAAGAAATCCACTTCTGTTATAGAAGCAATATGACATTATCTAACCTCTCTTGGGATGGCAGGTTCTCCTGAGGAAGAACAGCAGCATACAGCCGATGACGAACAAAGAGCAGACGGTAATGGCTGCCAGAGGAGATACAGAGCTGCCTTCCTGGGTGTGCTTCTCTTTCCCTGTAAACCAATACAGGACGGACACTGATATTAACACTCATTTTTAGCCAAGATGGAGAACCTGTTAATAACAACCAGTTAAGCATCAGCTAGCATGACTAGTCTTATTAAAAGGTTAGTCATCAGAGGATGGTTTGGAAAGGTTCATAAGAAATTTTGATGTCAATAAAACATGGATGCGCTCATGACTTCTGTTGACTCAATAAACAGCATTTTAAATCATAGCCA